GGGGGCTCACAGGACTTTATCTGGTGGTATGCGGTTCATGATGTTTGGTGCTGCCAAGGCTCATCTTTCTATGGTATTAAGTTCTATAACATGAGTCATGGTTAAAATTCGACTCCCAACACGTGCAAATGGCGTAAACAAATCGCCTATTTAAATCCCTTACTAGAAACAAGCTGTACCTTAGTCGCGTTCTAAAGTGGGACAAAAAGGTCACAGTCTATGTCAAATGACAGTCCATGTGTACGCGGAAAGAGTTTGAACACGGTGTTTTTATCGGATATGGTGATAACTTGAAAGTCCATCGCGTGATTATCAAACGCACTAAGGAGACACAAGTATCACAACATATCCAGTCAATTAAATCTGCAAAGGGGGTATTGACATGTATCTAAGTACCGTAGATAATGTACCCACTCTTTATCTCTGACACTGAGCGCATACTGATCCTAAGTGCAGATAGCTCGATCTGTTCTAGTTGCGAGGTATCTGGGGTCAGTTTAAACATTAGTGAAACTCAATCGCTGGCAGAACGACTCAAGCATCGTCGTGCAAGTTTTTGATCGATATGATAATGGCTGCGCAATGAAGGTTGTGCGAGAGAAGGGGCCAAAATTCCGTTGAATTAGCCACAATTTATCCTGAAAGAAAACCCGGTGGATGTGATAAAGGCAGAGCTCAATGCACTCGTCGAAAATTGTACTAGAGAGGTTTCCGACGAACCCAACAAATAAAATAAAATTCTAGACAGAAAATGGGTTCTGAAGATCACGTTTAATGAAGATGGTGACGTTGAGCGGTTTGAAGCAAGACTTGTTACTCAAGGTTTAGCCAGAAGTACAGCGAATATTTTTGGATTCATTTGCACCGGTGATAAAAATGAGCAATATGCGTGTTTTTTACACCATCAAGCTTTTTAGGACTACAAATGACTCATGACAACTCTTCGAATGCCTACGTAAGAAGTATACTGCGTGAACTCATCTACATGTAGGCATCAAGATAGCTGATTTCGAGGAGGTCACGGTAATGAATCTTCTTAAACCGTTGTACGAGTTTAAATAGTCGGATCGCTGCTGGAAGGAGACGGTGAATAAGCACATCGTTGTACTTGGATTTAGCAAGTCAAGACTCCACCCGTGCATTTATTGAAGGCGCGTAGTAACGAGCGGGTGCTTTTGCTTGGGATCTATGATGATGATGTGATGAGCGAGTGTCATGACGTAGAGGATCTGAGCGAAGTTACACTTCAGCTGAAAGAGCATTCGTCATCAAGATGCTCGGACCAGTCAATTATTTTCTTGGTCTCGCAGTCACGAGACTCAACAAGGTTATTTTTGTACCAGCACAGCGTGATTTGTGACTCAATTTATGCGTTCAATCTTGAACATGTCAGAACTGTAATGACTCCAATGAATCCCTGCACAGCTTATTATGTTCCTAATGGTGAGGCAATAGTGGACCTACATCGTGTAGGTACAGTATTGCCCGTTAAGCTACTTTGAATTATAAATTAAACACGCCCAGATATAGCGTATGCTACCAATTTTGGTCAAGTCACCGCGAGAGCCTCGTTGTTGCCATTAAGGAGCTAATCAAACTAATTTTCGCTATTGCAAGGGCACATCAGATCGCGGTTTGCGCTACTTAAAAGCCTAGAGGTCATTATTTGTTTTGATGCTAATTGAGGTGGTGATCTAGTCAGCCGAAATTTTACGAGTGGAGCCTACCCAGCGGTGAATGGGCGGCCGGTAGCGTGAAGTTTAAATAAGAAGCCGTTGCTGCAATGTATACCATGCAGACATAGCTAAATGTCGGGTCGAAAAGTGTGTCAGAATGCGGATGGATCAGGAAACTTTTTCAAGAGCTGCTCAGCATCGATTTTTTTCAAGTATCATGGTTGACAACCAAAGAACGATACGAAACATGGAGAATGAGATGGTATCAGATGCTGCAAAGTGCATTGCCATAAGGTATCACGTCATCGAGGATTAAACTTGCAAGGGACGCGTAAGTGTGAAGTGGTATGCTAGTAAGGACCAGCTTGAAGATATATTGATCTAACCGCTACCGCGTCAGACATAACAATAGATGAGATGTCGAGTCCAGGTGGCGCAGCGTGATTTACAAGTTGAGTATCTCATCACAGTCCGGAAAAATGTTGCAAATCGTCCGTTTCTTTCACCAACTCTTCACGTGATACATGACCACGTCAGGTAAATGCTAACAATAAGCATTGTTGTAGTAAATCGATGATGATGCCAGGTCCATAGGAAGATAAAAGATCATTAGAGAGGAAACAATGGAAGTAGTTAACACGTCAAAGTATTTCTCAGCTCACACCTACTATCATCGAAGCGAGCAAGTTATACTACAACCAGAAGCAAATAGTCGACCGCTGGGTTTAAGAACCTCGATGCGAACAAAGCTGGAGAGCGTACGCTTCCTCAACCGGGGACCCCCCCCCACCCCCTTTATCTAATATGTGAACACCTCTTGTTTAAACGCATAGTAATTGTTTTCCAATGTTGTTGCTCATAGTTTACCCATAATAAAAAGGGAGCCAACATATTGCAAAAATATAAAACACCCTCCTCCACTCCTATCTCGCCCACCACACATCAAGCTCTATTATGAGTGCAGCGAGTGCATTTGGTGTATTAAATCCTAAACTTGGTGGATATCTTTGGTGGAGACGCAATCACCTCCGACGAGCTGTGTAGATATCGGGTCGAGCTACGACCGCTTTTATAAAAGTTGGATTTTCTGGTGTTAGACAGTACAAATTGCCCAAACTTCCCATTTTGCGGTTCTGTACTTCTTCTCTAGGCGAGCTCGATAGTATTAGAGTTCTTGGACGTACAGGCCAAACATTACAATCAGTTTACTCTCAGTTATAGAATTTGCCTACATCATAGGGCGACCTCCAGAGCTTAATCCTCCATCTTAAATTAGTTGCGAGCCCGAAGGGTGAAGCTATTTGTGAGTGTGCGCAAGCTGAATGCCGAACTTTTAAATTGTACGTTTTTGTGTGTCTGTCTGTAAATAACGCAAGGTGTACCTTACACGTCGTATTACGTGCGAACTACCCTGTCGCTTTCATAGGCACATGGCATATGTGAAGTCACTCTTTAACTAGGTCACTATCATGGCGCACGCTCGTGATTGCTTAAATTCGATCAAAGCTGAATATGATCTGTGATCACATAGGCAAATGCTGAACCCTCATACTGTAAGCAAAGGCTGATCGCGTTCTTTTACTGACTGTCGCTGTTTAGAGTGTCGAACTTGATTCCGTTCTATAGACTGAATCACTATACTAATGGGTGAGCTCCAGAGCTTGCTCACCTATCTTAAGTTAGCAACCTTAGATCGACCACAGTGGCGTCATATTCTATAAGGTAGTGGAGGTTATATATTATCGAGTATTGTCAGGAGGAGGACTGTAGAATTCGAATCTGCGGTTGGATTAGCACAGTCCGAGCTTTAGAAGCACCACCATCATCATCGCGAGGCGTCAACACTAAGAATCCCACGGGACACACCGAAACTGACAAAGAATTGTAGGTCTTGCAGTGTTAGCCTACTGCTTCCATTGTTGAACAACGACGGCTAGTGCATGTGGTGGCAGATCCTTGAGATCTCGAAGATGCCCAATACTCGGCCTCTCGTGACACTTTCTGATGTTTTTAGTATGTAATAGACATTTGGACGTTCATGCAAGGAGACGGTAGAGAATATCGCGCTGAACGCCTTCATAGTTCAAATTGCGTTGTTTTGACTTGCAATGGATGTGCTCAACGCTTTCAGCCCAAGCCGACATCTACAACAACGGAGCACTCTATTATAACAAACGGGTCAGAACCACTACCACGTGGATACTGGATCCGACCAGAGCGTGCTAGCTTTCAGATACCACAAGAGGATGTTTTTAATGATGATCGAAACAAGCGGCTTGATCTTTTGTGGCTGTCCTTTTTGCACATCCTTGTCGGGTTTGAACCTACTTTGTCGGCTACCAACATCTGATACAGATCCTGCCATAGAACTAGTGACGCATGTAATGGTTTGTGGTAAGTCGCTGTGACTACTGCAAGTTGAAGGCAATACACTGCCCCACTCGTAGCCCACGCTAAGGAACGAGCCTAAGTTATCACTAGAATCTTCTTGCATTGGAAGGAAATCAATTCTCGACCCGCTTCATCCGAATGATACAAAAAAACGACCGCTTTGTCACTTGATACGCTCCTAAACCTCGACCTTTGGCTGGATCGGAACCATCATCGTTGATGACTGGCATGCATAAACGTGGCAGCGATCATCGATCAAAGTCCTCCAGGCAAAGGCCGCTTTGCTCGAAGATTAGTTGCCCTGTTCACGACGCATCATTATTGTTCGAAGAATTGCGATTTGGAGATGTCGAAGATACTCGTCACTCGCTACCGAATGCGAAACTGATCAGGGGTCAGTGGATGGATGGATTGACAACGATCACGTACCACGTTATGTCGGACATGATGCAGCCAAGAACGATGATGGCTACTGCGATCGCTACCCGAATGAAGTAGTCGCCTGACTATGTAGACATAACCCGGTATGTAAGGTTCAATTCTCGGCGGTTAACAAAGTGTCTGACGGAGAATGGGTTGATGTGACAAGTAGAAGGTAAAGCACCTGAAGCAGGTGACATCCTACTGGGCTATTACACCAGCAGGATGGAAATGGGTCGTCGGGGAAAAGATCTACCGAGTCGGTCACAGCGCCCAATGAGTGAAATTACCCATCCTATGCTGGCTATAAAGGTACAGGCAGGCGTAATGTTACCCCATCCACAGCAAGACCCTATCGATGACTAGAACGTGCTTCCAGCAATCGCTACAGCTACTTGTTCGCCTTTGAATGTCAAGAAGAGCAGTAGCTGCTCATGGCAAACAAGAAGATGGAAAAGTGTACAAGCACAAATTCATACGTCTCATTTTGGTATGGAAACACTCTATGGCTTTTTACAGCTTGACCGTGCCGGCATTTGTTGTGGCAGCCAGGACCTCTTCAAACGCACTGCTGCTACTGCCACCACCCGTCATCTCGTCGTCGTTGTCGAGCAGACACGACAGCACTTCCAGCAGCTCCTCGTCCGAGACACAAGACGGACTGGTCGCAGCCATTTGCAAGTCCGTTGCGATACCATCACGTGCCCAGGTAAATTTGTGCCCCACTGGCTGCATGTCGACACTCGTGGGTGACTGTTCTTCCTGGCTCGCTTCAGTATTGACGGCCAACGAATGGCCGAAGCGAAGGTGCTGGTTCCGCATGTGGCGGTTCAAGTTGCCGGTCGAGCTAAACGTTTTGTTGCAATGCACAAACTTGCAGCGACGCGTGGGTGTATCCATGTGCACCCGCATGTGACGCTGCAGTTTGTGCGCTGTCGTGAACGTCTTGGAGCACGACGGCGCGGGACATGCAAGTGGCTGGAGCTCGTCCCCGTGCAGTCGACGATGGCGCGCCAAGTTGCTCGTCGTGGTAAAGCACTTGCCGCAGCCGCGGGCAGGGCACCGATAAGCTTTCTCGCCCGTGTGCGTGACCAGATGCTCTTGGAGGGCGTACCGCCGCGTGAATTGGCGAGGACACTCACTGCATTGGAAACAGCTGCCAAAGAATCGAGGTAGTGACTCATTTGAGCGAGACGAGTGGCTCATGGGCGCTAGACTCGGCGTCGTGCTATACGCGAGGGGGTACACAGACGTCGGCATGATCCTCTTTCTCTCTTAATGTTACTGGCAATGCAAAAGTTGAAAACTAACGCGCTCGGAGTAAGAGACGTGGTGCCTGGCGCCTGTGCATCCAAGTGCCAAGCGTGCGCTCTCTCTCATCGTTGAAGCTCGTTTCGTGCTCGAGAGAGACCGTTTGACTCTGATGCCGTAATACGCGTGATACAGTAGGAGTCGTAGTACTCTACTACATGCAGTAATCGTAGCAGTCCATCCGAGCTCGTCGGACACCTCGACTCAAATAGCGGACACCGAGGTTAGAGTGGGGTCTTCCCCCCTCACGTGCGTACGTGGCGACATCAGTTGAGTCCGCTTGGCGCTGTCATGGCCACAGGTACGCAACTGACTGCCAACGTGGACGTGTCCACATGGTTTTGCACGATACATGTCTCAAGCAAGTGAGTGGCAACGAAAGCGGTGCTATCTGCTGGTTTTGCATCCATTATTGGTGTAAAGGTGAGAGGGGGGAGATGCTTCAGTAGCCACCACCTCATCATCATCCGTCCGACGTGTGCAGCAGGTTCTGGTCGTGCGTTTGGTTGTTTTCATCTACGTATGGATAGATGGATGGGCGGATTGAGGCAGTGATTGATTTTCCTGTTTTGGCACAGTGGAGATTTGCACTGCTGACCTCATCAATTGGACGTCGGATAGGCTGTCACGAGAAACGTGCGTGCGTGCTTCAGCTTCCGCCGTATTCGACAGTGTTCAAAGCGTGCGCGACGTCTGCCACGAAAGAGGCAGATCGCAGTCGTCACGACCGAAACAGTAGGTACGAAACTGGACCTATACACGCTACAAGTCGCTCGCAAGTGAGGTGACTCTTGTCAGTCAATCGCGCACGTCACCTCGATTGTGTCCACACGAGAAACATGTGGTTACACCAAATCTGTCGGAACTGATCCTCCCATTCAACGCTGATCCATTTACACGGATCGATTATGTACGTACACAGACGATGGTGGATATGAATTCTCACAAACAAAGGTCGCAGCGTCGTATTCATTGCTACAGGTCCGACGACATTTCGTCTGAACGCCTTGCTGTCACCAACGACGACGCGCCTCCTCCACCTTAATTTCCCCTTCCTTCCTTCCTTCCTCTTTTCTTACTCCTTCTTCTCCGCCTGTGGTGGTGACTTGATCGTGTAGGCCGCGGCGCCTAGACTCAAGACGCCCGCCGCTGCAAACAGCGCGTACGAACTCTTGGGTCCATCTGCGTTGTTAATGAGCTCGGGCTTGTACTCCCAGAGACTGTGGCGCACGGAACAGAGCACGTGATAAGTCGCTGGGAAGGCCACAAGGAGCTTCGATAATGGAGCAAATAGCGGGATCGAGTCCTGCGCCATGTAAATGAGTCCAGGCACGTCAGCGCCCACCGCGCCCAGTGCACTGCCGCCCACAAAGGCCAAAGACATGCCAACACCCGAGACGCGGTTCGCAATGGACGAGATGGCGCTCACGGGGAACTTGTAGATGGTCACATTGGGCGAGATAGGACGACCGAGTGCTTCTTGGGCGGCTGAATAGCTCTCGGTGCTCAGAGCGCGTGTTAGCGCAGGGGCGACGGTGGTGCATCGCGCAAGCTTCTTGATCAGTATCTGCGGACTCATTCTTTGTATGGTGCTTGGTAGAATTCGGACTGACGCTGATGAGGGCGAGGTAAGGTTGCGAGACGCTATGATGGCTTGAACTGACAGCTCTCTTGATTATCTATGGTTGGATGGCCGGTGAAACGCATATCCTCTATAAAAACAAGTGCGACGGCTTGTTGCAGCGGACGAAGGGAGACGAATGATCGATATAGGTTTTCCTGGGGTTTTATTAGCTAGATGTGAGTGGCTGTATATCTCACGTATTTTCAGCCAATCTTGTACGACCAACGATCTCTGCGGCTCAAAAACGCCCTCGCAATGCTGGCCACGACCCTTCGCCGTTCGAAGCGCGCGCTCACGCACTTGCAGTCGCCGCGTCGCCACGGCGGCTCGCTCTCTAAGAACAAGCACATTGAAGTGGGTTACACGTGATTCTTTCTAGCTCCCTAAGCCGACTAGAAAGTCCTGGTTGGTTCGCAAGAATGTCATAATTAATATCTAGTCTTATGTATAACTTATACTGGCTTGCAGAACTGGAACAATTGGCGCGGAGACTCTGAGAAACGGTTCCAGTTCAACCGCCAGTTCTTTACGTCTCTCGTGGGCTGGGGCGTCGTCCCCTTCACGCTTTACTACGTCTTGAGCACTGACGAACGTGTACGGGTTGGGTTACGACTGAAGTTTTTTGTCTTTTGATGACGATGATGTGGTGTTCCGGTTGCTGCGAGTACTTATACTACTTCTTGTGCTGCTGCTTTTGTTTGGTGATGATAGCGTAAGCGGAACTCTCGCAGTGGCGCCCAGGAGATCCTTCGTCAATAAAGGTAGACGGGATGGACAGGAGACGAACTGGAGATGACAGAGAGTCACACACGTTGGTTAACGTATGGGTGTTTCCTTCATTTTAAGCTTAAATCAAAAGTCTTTGTGGCTCGAATCGGAGCAATGGAAAACGAATAAACCACTTGTGATCAGCAGAACCACCACACGACTCGATGTTCATGAAAAGCTTTATCTCCCTCGTTCTAAGCAACATTGGATAACTATTCAGAGGTAGACGACGAATTCGCAGCGGAGCGTGATTGTCGTACTTTGTGACGGGTCCATACAAACGCACAGACAGACGCCAACCTATCGACCACTTCTTGTCCACTTTTGTGTTTTTTCGATGCAGGAACAACGACCGCTCTCAAGGGACGCAAACACCGCAACGCTGCAAGCGTTTTATGCGCGCGTCATCAACCGTGTGTGCGATTCTTATCGAAAAGAAGGCGAAGCCCTTGCTACTGAAACGATCGCTCGTCTCCAACAGGTTTGCTTGATATTTCCAGCTCCACGTATCGAAATTTGAGCTTTAACGCTGCAAAATGCAATAGAAATGGCAGGAAAAGCTCCTGCTGTACACAGGAAAACCAGATAATTCAAGTCCGAGAAGAGAAGATGACGACAGAATTGAGCTCGTGGACTCGGTCGAAGCCTCCGGTGACAGTGACAATGAACTTTCTGACGGATCGTCGCCACCGACGTCATTGTCGTCAAGCTCTTCAACGGAATCAGAAGCTGCTTTGGAGCACGAAGCAATTGGTCGACCAAGTGCAGCATTGGTGCGCGCTTGAAACGACGCTAGACGTGAGTGAGAGATCTAATTTTGTGTCGTGATAATTGTCTCTTTTTACATGCAGCCAAGTGCTGCAACGTTGACTGCACCATCAGTATTTTCGAAAATGGTTCGCTTGTAAAGCTATGAGTGTGAGTAGAGATGAGTACTGAGTCTCTTGAGTTGTTGGCTTTCAACAGCTTGGGTCGAAGCGGAGACTTTGCCAGTTGGATGGCTCTGTTTCGGATGCTGAGATCGATCTTGATTGGCGGGACGTTGCTGCAGAGGAGGAGGAGGTGAACGAGGTTTGGACAAGTTTGCCATCACGGTGAAATTAGTGAAACTTGAACCAATTGTTGTGCTGGATCTGTTGCGTACTAGCTAAAGCAGGGCGGTCAACAGGAGAGCGCAGAAACAGGCGCCACTTTGTCAACAAAGGCGCAAGACTCGTTCAATGATGCAGAAAACGATGCAGACGGTGAAGCAGCAGGAAGGAGAGATGATACAGTAGATGAGGACGCTCGCCGAACAAAATGCGACGAAGCAGTGAAGATTGTGGTAAATTTTGGAGATGTTGATGAAGACACGCCGTCAAGCTCGATGATTGTTTCATCGAGGCTAGTATCTGCAGATGATCTTGCTCCCGTCTCTGGTCTTTCTGGAATCAGTCTACCTATACAGCTTGCTGCAGAGTACTCTAAGTTTCGTCACCATGGAAAACGTCAAGGGTATCGTGGTCAACTACACGCAATCGTGTTGACATGGCCAAACCGATTGCGGGCAGAAGAAACTGTTCGTCCTGGTGAGGTAGTGTGGTGCTATCCGGATTTATTGCCAGGAATTATTGGTGAAGGCAAAGTCGGGAAGATGGTTTCGCGTGAGGACTGCCGGCAAGAAATGAAGATCCGGTTTGACGATGGAACCGAAGCTATCGTTTCGAGGGACCGAACTCGTCGTTTGTCCGAGTATCTCATTCGCAAAGGTAGGGTTCACCTCAGTAGCGAACAGTAGCAGCGCAAGTGATCATGGACTGGTTCTGCAGATGGTATGAGTACCTACATGAAGACTTGCTCGATGCGTGGAGTTGACATATCTTCGTCTTGGTGGCATAGCTGCCGACGACGACATCGTTTAAGTCGTGACACGTGGGCTGAACCGACTCCTTCACTGTGATTGACACGGAGATTGAGGTCAAAGGAGCTGGATGCTCAGTTTTGTACGGGCTACCACGCATCACATGAAGACTTTTGCAGCATGGAGACACCGAGTGAATACAAGGAGCGACGATATCACTTTGATGGGCTAGTCTGCTCTTGTCAAAAATCGCGACTAGCCGTCGCCCTTAGAAGCGCACGGAAGAGTACTATTTCCACAGAGCGGACGCCACCTATAGATCCACAAGCCCCTTTGCATCCAGCGACTGGCCCATTTACAGGATGTCCAGCAAGTCGTCGCACTCGAAACTTAGAATGCAATTTGCATACATGGTAAATGATGATATTCATCATTGATGTGTTCACTGAGCATATACGCGAGGCGTGGGCAAGCGCGCATACTACCTGCGCCGATCGTGTGGTGCGGAGCTCAAGGTGGTTGCGAGTGTAACGGGGTGAATCGTTACATAACAATTTATAAGAAATTGTTAATAGAATATAACTATAAGAGTCATGTTCTCAGAATATTGTCATAAGGACAAATATTCTGCAGCACTCACGAGTAGTTCCTAATTGGTTGATATAGGCCATTATATCAACCAACGAAGACGCGCCACGACAGACGCACGCAATGAGTGGTGAGCAGATAGTTGATACACACATTTGTATTCAGACATAGTTAGATGAGGACAAACAGTGGTTTATTAACAGACATTAACTATGATAAATACAGTTCTACTTTTTACTTTAACCAAGTACTCGCTTCTTCTTACCGTCTTCCTCTGCACGTACGAGTGTACATGAAGTTACGAGGCACCGCCTTATTCTGTCATCAAAATAAGTAGCTTGTACTGTCACCAGTACAAGCTTCAGGGTGCCCCGTTACACCTGGTAGCACTTCGTAGTCCGTCCAAGGACCACGTTCACGTCTAACATGAATATGTTAGATTATGAAGATGACCAAAGCTTTCACGCTACGCGTGATGGCTACTCCCACTTGAGCGATATCGAATGGGATGCGGTTGAACGGATGGGTTCAACCATGGGCATCCATGCTGTTAGCGTCACGCTCGAGGCTCTCAATAGATATGCCCAACATGCTACTATCGCCAAGTTCATTCAAAATGAACTTGACGCTGAACGCGAGAAAGTAGCCTTGCTTCACCAACAAGGTTCTCAACAATCAGAGTTGTTTAGATAACAGGGTGCTCAACAGTTTGAACTGTTGAGACAGCAGCAGGCTGCTGCTGGTGGGTCGATGCACTCGCGTCGACCCGAGACCTTGAAGATTGACATCTCCAAGTATAGGGGAGTCGAAGAGGACTCTCTCTTGAGATGGTTCGTCGAATACGACGACGCCATAAGGGCGCGTCGCATCGACGACGGGTATATGCAAGCTGCATTTGCCCAGTCAAATCTGGCAGGACGTGCGAAGACATGAGCACTGTGGCTCAAGTTGCACGACCCATATGCGTTTGGGTCGTTAGAAGTCGTCAAGTCGCGGCTCAGACAAACGTTTGAACCGCCTGGAGCTGAGTTCAGAGCTCGAACTGAACTCTTGAAGCTCAAACAAGGTAATCGTGATGTGCACGCTTACGCACAACATATACGACATCTCACGAGTTGTATAATTTCCAACCCGGTAGATGAACACACGTTGGTTTCGGTGTTCATGCAGGGTCTTGCGGATATTCCCGTCAAGACTCACCTGTTCCGACTTGAACTAGATTCACTAGAACAAGCCATTTCCATTGCGGAACAGGAAGACTTCAGTCTGACACAGTCTCGCGCCAACTCGACATCATATCTTACACCGAGACGATATGACAGCGGAGGTCCAGAGCCGATGGAACTCTGTTATGTAGAGAGCGAGAAGGCTCGCTCTACAGACTACAAGAAGTTGCAGAAATGCAACAGATGTCAAAAGACAGGACACTACGCTTACGAGTGTAGTGCCCCTCGTCCAGTGTCTCGCAACACTGGGCGTTATGACCTTCCATCCATGAGAAAGGGGCAGGGACGCGGGTCCGCTGTTGGTGCAAAGACGCAACAACGGGACGGGCCGTCAAAAAACGGACAGGATCAGTAGGTGCGGAGCACCCTACTGGTCCAGCAGCGTCAAGAGAATTTGTAGGCCTCTTGACGAAGGTTTCTCCCAACACACAAACGTTGTGCGTTGCTGCTCTAGGTAATGAGATCTCACTCATTGCCTTGAAACTCGAAGTGACGAATAAGTTGTCCCTTCGAGCTCTAGTCGATTGTGTGGCGTCCAACAATTTTGTGCGACGCCAATCACTAGAAGATGGTCATTTTAAGTTTAGTGAATGTGACACACCTCCTACGGGGATGACGGTACGTCTTGCGACAGGCGCATCCTTAACCGTCATGAAACGTATAGTGAAGATCCACTATACGCTAGAAGATACCCAATACGACGATGACTTTATCGTATTGGATTTGGATGACAAATTTGATGTCATCCTTGGAATGCCGTGGCTCAGAAGGTACGAACCACGGGTAAACTGGCAACATCGGACAGTAACGATGCCTGCCGCTTGTTCATCAGATGGCCATCTGATGAACGTTTTGGAGCGTCCACAAGCGTGTGGATGTACTACGAGTGAGTGCGATGGCCTCACTTGTGGTACGGTCGTTAGTACGACTGCACAAAACCTTAGTGTACCAAACGGTTACACTTCGGAGAAAAGTTCCGGCGGCTGTGATTAAACACGGGCTGCGCCGAGTCCACCACTCGATTACGTCGAGTGTACCGGGACAAAGATGTGCCCTAGCGGGGAACATCTAGAAGAGAAACAATCGATCGCTCAGGTTAAGCGAAACGATAATCCTAAATCGACTGGAGAGTCTTTCGTAGAGGATCTCGCTGTGGTTGCGCAACCACAGCTAGAGGAAGTTAAGGGAATAAGTCCCGATATTGCAAATACGGCGGAAATAAGTTCCCCAAAACCCGCGGGAATAAGTCCCCGGGAAGCCGAAGGAATAAGTCCTTCGAGGCCTGAGGGAATAAGTCCCCAGGAAATGACAGAGACATTGAATGTCATAGTCAATGACGGATCAAGTGTAGGCGCTTATACACTTGATCTGATTGCGCCTCCGAAGTTGACTTCGGACATCACTCATTTGCCAACGCTCGAACATAAAAGGTTCTTGCGTGATCTGCGTAGTGGCAAAGTTAAGCAGATCTGCGTACTCGTCGCTGACGACGAGTGTGTAGCCGACATAAGGTCAGCAACAGTGTTCACTGAGAACGAGAGAGTTCTCAGTAGTTCATCTATGGACGATAGTGTCCTGGATGAAAAGACACGAATTGAGCGATATGACTCCCAATCATGGGAATCGCTCAAGAAAAATCCTCTCTATGAAGATTTGGTTGAATTCAAAGATTTATTCCCTGAAACTGTTCCGTGCAAATTACCGAAGGATAAAGGTACTCGGCACGAGGTCGATATTAAACCAGGCTCGAAGTAATGTGTCATGAAGCAGTGACCGCTGCCTCGTGAACAAGTACTTGCGATCGACAAGTTCTTTGCCGATCGTTTAGCTGCGGGCCATGTGAGGGAATCAACTTCTCCACATAGCTCTCCGACCTTCTGCGTGCGAAAAGCGACAGGAGGGTGGAGAATAGTGCATGCACTTGACAAGTTGAATGCTGCAACGGTACCGGCTCAGACGCCGATACCAAGGAAGTACGCAATCATTGATTGTATGTTAAAGAGGACCATCTTTTCGTCTATGGATTTGATGGATGGCTTCTATCAAATCCTTATGCGAGAACGGGACGTACCCTATACCGCAGTGAGCACGCCTAGCGGCATGCTCTGGGAATGGCTAGTAATGCCACAAAGGCTCAGTAATGCCCCTGCCACGTTCAACAGATGTGTATCACATCTGTTGAGACCAGTACGAGAATTCGCGCCGAGTTATTTCGATGACGTATTCATCCATAGTCGGGCTATGGATGGAAAGTCGGACGTTGAGGTTCACAGATGCCACGTCCGACAGGTTCTTACAATCATGCGAAAGCACCAATTGTATGCCAATCTCAAGAAGTGTACCTTTGCAGCAAGCGAAATACCGCTTCTTGTATGCATCGTTGGTAAGAACGGTGTACGTCCCGATTTCGAAAATCAAGGCGATCACCGACTGGCCTGCGCCAGTTGATGTCAAAGGTCTTCGAAAATTCCTTGGGCTAGCGACGTATTTGCACAAGTATTCACGCAATTACGCCGAGATGAATGTACACCTTTCTCGTTTGTTGAAAAAGAACGAGAGGTGGTTATGGAACGCTGAATGTCAGAGCTCCTTTGATGGTATCAAGAAGAGCTTGATACAACCCCCAGTCCTAGCAATTGCCGATCAGGACAGGCCATTTCATGTGGTCTGTGATGCCAGCGATTTCGCAATTGGCTGTGCATTAATGCAGTACGACCTTGAAGGCGTTGAACGCGTCGTCTGCTATCACTCGCGTCAGCTGCAACCAGCTGAGCGGAACTATCCAGTGCATGACAAGAAACTCCTTGCCATGAAGTATGCACTCGCGAAGTTCAGAGTATATCTATTAGGAGATAGACCCTTCATTGTTTACACTGACCATGCGTCATTACGCACGGCAGTAAACAACCCGCACCTTTCACAACGAATGGCACGGTGGTTTTCACTCTTTGCAGAATACAACTTCACGGTAGAGTATAAACCAGGACGACTTAATGTCGTCGCTGATGCATTCTCACGTCGGCCCGACTTTGAAACAGTCGTGAAACCCAACAGTGAGACAGCCACTGTTGCGGTTATGACGTCTTCAGTACCATCTTCAACGTTGTATGATGATGTGAGGCGGGCGTATGACCAAGATGGTGAGATAGTGAAGTTGTTGACACATCTCTCACAGCCATCTCGAGAGTCGTTGAAACTATTGTCGTCTGCGTATCGATCTGCATCAGATCGATACACTACTCGCAACGGTTTACTGTACTATACAGCCGTTACTGGTGACACACCACGTGTTGTCATTCCAGATGATACTGATCTGCGTTTGCGGATCATGTTCGAGTATCACGATGCTCCTATAGGAGGACATCGTGGCCGGGAGAAAACATATCGCACGGTGAGTCGAGACTTTTACTGGCCCCGCCAGTATCAGTTTGTGCGAAAGTACGTTCGCGCATGCGAAGTCTGTCAACGAGTAAAGTCAAGTCCTTCACTGCGTGCACCTTTACAGCCTCTACCGGTTCCGGCTGAGTGCTGGGAATCCATCTCAATGGACTTTCGTCTTCGGGTTACCCAAAGACGCACGCGGGAATACGGGTATTCTCGTATTTTTTTTGACAGATTCAGCAAAATGGTACACCTCGTGGCTGTACCAGAGTCAATCACGGCAAGTGGATGTGCTTGTGTCTTTATTGACACCATCTTTCGACTCCATGGGTTGCCCCGTGAACTCGTATCAGACAGAGATCCACGCTTCACTGCTGATTTCTGGCGTTCCGTGTTCCAATCACACGGAACGCGCTTGAAGATGTCGACATCTGATCATCCAGAGTCAGATGGTCAGACGGAACGAGCCAATCGTGTCCTCGAAGAGATACGTCGAGGATACGTACACTCCTTTAAGAGTTGGAGTGAGTTCTTGCCAATGGTAGATTTGCCATTAACAACTCGGTGCATGCGTCCACGACACATACACCGTTTTATGTGAATGGCTTGCGCCATCCGCGTGTACCCATCTTACTCGAGTGTAACTCTGGTTTAAGGGGGGGAGAGACTCGCGCGAGCAAAAACCGATTTGGTTCACGCTCATCACGCTCTGACGAAGAGCTCATTGCGTTTGATGCCGATATCAATAACATAGATATCGAAGAAGATGATGCCAGTGAGAGCGAGGAAGCCCTCACTGAAGAAAAGATTGATGTTGCTGCAGTGCGCTCACAGCGCACCGAAGCTAACGAGTCATCAGATGAGTTCATACTGGCTCGTGAAACGGTAGTCCGTTTTGTGCAAGACTCCATCGCCGAAGCGGTGGATAAGCAAAAGCAAAACGCTGACAAGAATGGAAGGGCAAACACTCATTTAGTTAATAAAGGTGACTTAGTCCTACTGTCTACGGTTAATCTACCAAATCATGTAGTGACTAACTTGGGTAGCAGTAAGCTTCTATTCAAGTACATCGGTCCATTTCGTGTATTGCATCGTCTAGGCAACGCATACACGATCGAACTGCCACGTAAGATGCGAACGCATACCACGTTTTACGTTGGTCGGCTTAAGCCGTACCATCAGTACGCTGTTTCTACCTATAAAGAACGTCCTTGCGTTCAAGCATCTCACAGAGGGCCTTGTGCTCCCGATGGTGGCCATCGACAAGGGTCTGAAGAGCAGTTATCTCAGCCCGAGAACGGTCAATTTCTGCATGAGCTACCCTTAGCTTGTTACGCAGAACAGCCAAAGCTCTCTCGTTCTCAAGCTGAGCAAAGGCAAACTCAGCTCGATGCTTCAAGACAGCGTCCGCCAACTAAAGACGTCTGTCCCGCTCATGCTCGAGGTCGTCGCGTAACGCAAGAGTTACGCGATCAAAGAGGCTTGGAGAGCGTTTTTCCTCCTCCTCCACCTCCATTGGAGGACTCTCGCGGTGGCTAGCGCTATCTGATTGAGCAGCTGTTGAACCACCGCGATGTGAACGGACGTCGGACGAGTTATCTCGTCCGGTGGCGCGGTTATCCCACGTCATGGGGTACTTGGGAGCCCCGCTCCCAACTGATGATTGACGTACAGGGTCTGGTTGAGCAGTACGACGCGGCACATCCTGTGCCGCAGAAGGACCGCCGGAGAAAGTCTTCCCGGCACGATCTTAAAGGGATTTCAGGTTGTCAATCCCTTCGTACATCTCAGTAGAGATACGTACGAGCCACTACGGGCTAGTAAGGAGGTAAGCCTCCTTAGGTGCGCGCGCTGAGTTGTTTACACAACAAGGGCACGGGTCTCCCCAGGAGAGACAGGGTAACCCACTCTCCATAGACAGACGATGCAGCTTGTAGCGTGCGCCTGTCGGGGTTCTCTTTTCAAACTTATCACGAGCTTTGATAAGTTTGTCGTTCCGAACGTCACGACCTACATCCTCAAGGTTATGGATGTAAGCGTTCCACGCTTGAAGCAGTTAGGGACCATCACTTTTGTGATTCCCACTGTACCATCGATGTCTAAAGAAAGCATGGATGAAGAAATCATTCTCAGTGTGAGAGTCTTTTGCACTGGGGTCAAGGTGATAGATCCTTGACGAATCGAATAACCGTGTTCGATAACGATCACTCGTCGTCGCCGACAAGTGATCCATGACGGACTTTGGGATGCACCCATTCCTTCTTCTCGGGAGCGAGAAGCAACACACTGCGGTCCCACTCTTCTTGCGACGTGCCGACAGAAGTGCTGGCACCTCGTTGCGAAGTGGTGTCAACAGGAGAACCGACACCACTGTGAGCGCCCGAGTCTTGCGACTTCGAGCGCCTTCGCTTCATCGATGGTTCATCTGATTAGTCAGACGATCCAAAGATGCTGAGACGCATAGCATCATCCATGCCACGCTTGGCAGGCGGCTTGGATTCGATCGCCGTCGATACAGATCCCTCTTCAGTATCGGGAGAGTATGAGACACCGAGCTCATACTCTGTGAAGACATGAGTGTCTTCATGACGAGCGCCTGCATCACCAGGTGACACAGGCTGAGTCGCTTCAGCAACCGATGAGAGACATCAGTTGCGGTAAATTCTGCTTCGGCGTCCGCACAGAGACTTGCGGACGCTCTCTCGGCGGCCTTGCTCGCGCACCGCATGGACTTGTTAACCATGCGATGAACTGTTGGAAAGTGGACTCGGACCAACAAGTGCAAACCCTGTCCCAACTGATTTGGGACGAGTATCCATTTAGTCAATCAGTCACTACAGTGACTGATGGTTAGGGGGGGTGATGTAACGGGGTGGATCGTTACATAACGATTTATGAGAAATTGTTAATAGAATATAACTATAAGAGTCATGTTCTCAGAATATTGTCATAAGGACAAATATTCTGCAGCACTCACGAGTAGTTCCTAATTGGTTGATATAGGCCATTATATCAACCAACGAAGACGCGCCACGACAGACGCACGCAATGAGTGGTGAGCAGATAGTTGATATACACATTTGTATTCAGACATAGTTAGATGAGGACAAACAGTAGTTTATTAACAGACATTAACTATGATAAATACAGTTCTACTTTTTACTTTAATCAAGTACTCGCTTCTTCTTACCGTCTTCCTCTGCACGTACCAGTGTACGTGAAGTTCCGAGGCACCGCCTTATTCTGTCGTCAGAATAAGTAGCTTGTACTGTCATCAGTAAAAGCTTCAAAGTGCCCCGTTACAGTGAGGACGAATCTGTCGCTGAGACCGAACATGCGGTCGGATAAACAGGACCAGACGCAAACATATGAATTCTGACCTGTTGTGAATGCTTAAGTGATCAAATACTCCTGGCTTTACTGGATGGAGAGGACGATTGGGTTGTGGGACGAAGGATCTACTGTCCGAGATGTGAATGCGTTGCAGTGGGATGAAAACCCCGCCAGACTTTGATTTTTTGTGCTCTGCGAAGTTTTTGTTGCGCTTAGCATCCGTCACAACGTGAATTGTCAGAATCGCATCTGTGGCCCTAGTTGTCAACGTGTTCGGTCCGGCGCACGTCCAATATCTAGTTGCCTCGCTGTCCGTAACGATAGGATCATGTCAAATGTTGACACCTAACGCCGCTCAGCTCTACACACCAGTGGCAAGCTGCTTCCCCAAGCAACACAACGTAGTCACTGGAATATACATCTTTGCTTTCCTACTCCCTGCAAGTCGCCTTTTACCCACTTCCGGGTGTGACAGTCTTGTAGGATGTCACCTACTTATGTTGCTTTGCCTTCTGCGTGTCATATCAACCCGTTATCTGTCAGAAACTTTGCTAACAGCCGAGAACTGAACCTCACATATCGGGCTGTGTCTAGATAGTCAGGCGACTTCTTCATTTTGGATAGCGATCGCAGTAGCCATTATTGTACTTAGCTGCATCGTGTCCGACATAACGTGGTACGTGATCGTTGTCAATCCATCCATCCACCGACCCCTGATCAGTTTCGCATTTGGTAGCGAGTGACGAGTACGGTATCTTCGACATCTCCAAATTGCAATTCTTCAAACATATTGACTTTTGGCAACACCCAAGGGCGTTTAAGGTGGGAAAGCTCACAAGAAGATGAAATGGAAAGTGAATCATCATCCAGCTAGATCCTTAATTCGTCTCATTGTACTACTTTAAGCCTATCAATATCGACTCTACCGTATTAGTAACAAAACGATGAGTTGATCCCATCGTTGAAATTAATCATTTAGTGTCGTCCATGCTATGTGGTCATTATTATCGGTAACTAACAACACTTCCAATACCCCCCTCGACTAGAAGTCCCTGAACTTGGCTATGTAAAGCAGCAACTCGATCTTCTTGGTCGTGAGCAGTTCGATCAGAAAATCTACCAGCTGTTGCTCCGTTCCAGAATACCGTAGGTTGATTGCTCTTGTCTTTCACTCGTTTGCGCACAAAATGGTACCTGATGCCGATATGCTCCGCTCGACTTCGATAGCCGTCGTTCTTATCGATAGCAATTGCACTCTAATTGTTTTCATGAATCATGACAGCGTACATTTACTGCTCTTGTATCTCCTTGAGTAGACTTCTTGTCCACAGAACCTTCTGTACACACAAAGAAAGAGCCACAAACTGTGCTCCTGTCGTGCTCAGTGCCACGCTCGCATGCATCTTCGACACGAAAAGCACAGTTGTGCCACTTATCATGACAAAGACATCAGAAATCGATCTGCGATTGCACTTGTTACTTGCCCAGTCCGCATCCGTGTATGCACTAGGCTGAAGATTACCAGAAACTCCTGTATGAGTAGTTCCTTTGCACTACGTTGTCTTCAGATATCGCAAAACTCAAATCGCTGCATTCCAGTGCTCTGTACGGAAGTTCCAAATGACGAATCGCTGACATACTGCATACGCGATATCTGGTCTTGTGCCGGTTGCCATATACAACAGCTACCCCACAAATGACCGATTCCGTAGCGGGGCTACTTTAACTTCTTGGTCAGAGAAAGACTTCTAGACTTTTAGAGTCCCTTATTGGATCAAACTAATCAGGTATCAACTAAAAGGGTCTAAAGTCTTGCAGACTTGGTCAGACTTAAGTCTTAGCGTTTTTACAAGCTCTCTAGATTCTAGTCCTGGTTCAGGAGACTACGACTCCAAGTAATCACGTGGCACTAAAGCTCAAGAGTACCTAATCTTAACACAGGCAATTTACTCTTACGACCAGAGACGTCTTAGAAAGACACGTGTCTTGGACTGGTCAAAAGAGGAACTAAATTTATTTACTGACATATGACGATAATAGACCTTGTTTACTGATTAACAGCGACAATAAACTTTTGTACTGATTTACAGCAATGATAAAACTGACTTATGTCTTTAATGTTGGAACTATGCGATTTAATCGAATGCTCCTCATCATAGCTCTTCTTGTGTACTACACCATAACTACGTCGCCTCTATGAATCTCTCTCTATGAAGACCCTGTTCCGATAGATATCCTCCAAACATAACCGATGAGCTACGGTATTATCACGTGACATGTGTGATTCAACGTGCGTCTTATCAGTGACACTAATTTTTTTGTGTGTATACGACACCAATGTGCGTTGTCAATAACCGTTAGTGTAACCCCGTTGCAGATTCGGTCGATTCTTCATCTTTGTGTCAATTCATTTCATCTTAATCATTGCTTGCCCTTTAACACTTGGATTCGATACTGCTTTTGCATCGACCTGCTTGAATTCTGAGCCATTCTTGATGTACACGATCCTTGGCTGATTTTTAGACGTTTACTGCCGCGCAAGTACTTGGATTAGATTTTGACAACAAATCGAACGCCGCCCAATGTCTGCATTCAAAAACGACTTGGCAGTTGCGCTGCCACATCTTCCATCGCATTAGTAGTATCATCCCCAATTAGAAGGTAGTCCACATAGAATGCAGTGTAAATCCACGAGCCCTTGGTCCCTTTGACGAAGTTGAATGATTCTGCCGCGTATGAGGTGATTCCGTATCCACAAATACACACAATATTGTCTTGTACCATGATGCGGCCGCTTGTTTTAGCCCAAACAGGCTATGGTTCAGCTTGAGCACTTGATCACGTCTTGCACGAACGCCTAGAGGAGGGTATACGTACGCCTCTTCCTACAAAACATCATTTAAAAAACTGGTGTCGAGATCGTATTGATGAATTGCCATTCTCTTGTGACAACACACCGCCAAAAACACTCGGATTGAGGTGAGGTTTTCTACAGGTTAATATGTCTCCATGTTGTTAACTGCCTGCGTCTTCTGCTTGTAGCCAAGTGCTACAAAACGTGCCTTGTATCGTTCAATTTCACCAAGTTCGATCAGTTGAGAGCTAAAACCACCTTGTTCCAATCACTTATGCGTCGGACCCCGTATTTGTGATGTTCAGGTGTTCTCAGTGTGCAATTCATTGAGTTCAACTTGGATAACCTTGTACCGATCATCGATATGAGGTGACTTGAGAGCTTCTTCGTATGTCGCTGGGGTCTCGAACGCTGCACATGCTTGTACATGCATTACACGCAGTCTCTATGTGCCTCTTTCTTAACACAATTCTGTTACGTCAGAAAGGGCATTACCCGCACTACCTACTGGTTGTAGCACTTGAGTTTGTTCGTTTTTATCAATCCTAATGGAACCATTGCGGTTTCCTGAGATTTTTGAACACCTTTTCATTGACTCGGTAGTATCGCCATCGGCCCTGATCTTGATACTGTTCAACAGAGTCTTGATCTTCTTTAATCGTTGTCACGTCATCAATCTAAAATGCGGGGTCTTCAACAGTAGATCCCACGTGTCTTTACATCTGAATGTTGCATCGCGATGGTAGAGTCATCGTTGTAGTACGCCCATCTTGAACATGACTTTCTTCTTGAAAATTGTGACTGTAATTTATTTCTACGTCTATATCTTCCGTACATTTTGACTGCTCGAAATCTATAGAAACACCGTCTTCATAATGAACAGCGCGAATTTCTTGGTCACTGGATCTGCCGTAATGTTGCACGAACTGATGTGGTAGTCACCCATTAAATTTAGCCGATTTCTTGTGCATCACTGTCTTGGCGTCTTCATCCCGTACTCGAAATCCCGTAAAATGGTACAATAACCTAGAAAAATACATCGAAGCGCATTCTTGGTAGTCTTGGTTCTGTTTGACATGTCGACGTGTGCATATCCCTTTGACCCATTGCACACATCCCAGAGAGGTCAGGTTTCTTGCCGAATATAGACTTAAATGGAGTTCTAGTTGGGTGTATGGCACATGAAACTCTTCTGTCACACAGGCTTTTGCCATCATCGCCTCAGCCCACCAAATTTATCCACTTGCATATGGCTGAGCAGTGCTCCGACCCGCTCTGTCAGTGTCTGATTCATGGTTCGACTAGTCCATTCTGTTGTGGCAAATCGAATACCTTCGTCTGATGCATAATATCGAATTTTCGACATGTAGCTGATATAAATGTGTTGGATTATTTCTGTACTGTTGTCCTTCTTGGAAAGTTGATTCTCCTTAAGTGTCTTGTACTTAATGAGGCGACCCGTCACTTCCGACTTGTTTCCAATTTAGTATGCGACTTTAAATCTCAAAAAATTATCGATTAAGTTCACGACAAATCCTTATTCTTCTCGAGAATTCATTTTCATAGGTCACATGTAAAGTCGTTGGACAAAGCTGGTAAAATGCAAAAAAAAATATTTATTTAGGTCCTTAGTTCGCAAAGTCTGTTGCTACTCTAAGCCTACTTGATTCTTCGACTATACGTTCCCAATCGCTATATCGCACATTACTAATCGTCTAGTCGCGCATTAGTAATCGCCACATCGCACATTACAGATCGTCTAGTCGCGCATTAGTAATCACCACATCGCGCATTACTAATCGTCTAGTCGTACGTTTCTAATTCTGGTCGTGCGTTTCCAAACACCCAAACGTACCGAAAGTGGGGGACGTCACTGTCTGGCAGGACAGTGCTGGTGAAACCCGAACACCATATCCCGAAGGCTAAACTTTCTTGTTTGCACGCCCCACCGGTATCGAACCAGTGACCTTTGGGATAATACTGCCATACCAAACCGGCTGAGCTACAGAACACTTTTCTGAAACGTCATGCCGAGGCGTATCATTTACAACAACATGGCATCACTGTGGACCAACCCCAACGCTTCCTTGTTTTTTGCGTGTCCATAAGGTGATTGTGGAAACATCTTGACGGTAGCTTTGCATATGATGCACCCTCTGTAGATCTCGATGTCATATACACCACCTTGTTTCTTCTTGATCTTCAATGCATTGACGCAACTTGCCATAAATTAAGCTTTTTCGTTGGCAGGTGACCTAATCTTGCATACCATACCTGTTGATCAGCCACTCCTGATCCATCACTTGACTTCTGATCTTAATTCGTTTCTTCGTATTTCTTGGCCACCTCATCTGGCTGCACTCTAAGAAGTGCATCTTGTCTCGTCTTGGTACTTGAGAAACGACTTCCGTATTCATTCTGATCTGATAGTTCAGATCTGAGAAGATAACATGTATACCCTTTTTTTTAACAATGCCGATATTGACGGTAGCATTCTGTTTAAGCTTGGAACCTATAGCTTCTCTTCGATCCTGATCACTTTAACAGTCTTGAGCTGCACGCGCACTGTCCCAACACCTCGCGTCTACACTTCGTCGTTGGCTGCTATGGTATCATGATCGGGTCCGTAAGTGAGTTTAAATTCGAAAACTGATCTCTGTTGGGACAGATGTGGCTGCTTTCCTCACCGTCCAATGACAATCCAGTTGAAGCCCGACTTAACGCAGTAAAAGCTCTCTCTTCTCCAGATCGCTCTGTCTCCACTTGTGCAGCCTTGCAATCTTGACGCTTGAGCCCATATTTGTTACATCGATAACATCTTCCCGAGACCTTTTCACCTCTTGAACTTGATCTCCCTTCATGTCTGCGCGGTCCTTGCTTGTACTTGGAAGAGTGCGTATTTTTTAGTCTGACTTCTTGGTGTTCTGACTTCGTCGTTCCATCATACTCTCATCTCAGCATTTCCTAGCGTGAAACAGTGTAATTCCGGGTACTTCCTCGTTTATCTTGACAAGGGGGTCATTGTCTCTCGTTAGACTAACGTGTAGGATGAACAAATGCTCATCAGGTGAGATGTCTTGTCCAACGGCTTGCATAGTCATGCACAGCTCGTCAAATCTCAGGGAGTGGTCCATGATGCTTCCACCCGCAATTTTAACTCATGTAGTTGCCGTCGCAGCTGCACACGATTATTTATACTTGTCGCAGGAAGAACTTCTAGATAATGTCCCGTGCTTCTGCCGTTCTCTTCGCCTTGCGCACCATTAATTAAAGATTTGTGCTGATTATTGTTGACACAATTGCGAAGACCTTCATGTCGTTAACTTTCCAAAGTGACATGGTTGCGTCTCCTTCTTATATGGCCTACATAGCGTCTAGATGCTCCAGCAATCTCTTCTTTGTCAGCTCCACCCTCGCGTTGAACTCCCATACGAAGTAGTTATCTTCGCGGAGTATGTCGCTCGCGTCCGGCGTAGTTGGGCTCACAACCTTTTGACCTTTGGCACCACCCAAGGGTAATTTAAGCTGGGAACGCTCAGAAGAAGGTAAAATGGAAAGTGAACTATCATTCGGCTAGGTCCTTAGTTCGTCTCATTGTACTACTCTAAGCCTATCGATATCGAGGGCAACTAAACTACGAGAAAAGCGGCCTTCGCCTGGACGACTTTGGCCGATGATTGTTGCTTCGTCCATGCATTCCAGGCTTTGGCGATGACGGTTCCAAGAGAAACAGCTAAAGTTCGAGGTTCAGGAGTGTATCAAGTGGCGTGATTGCGAAACATTGCACTGTCCTACGGTAGGATCCGTGTCAGATAGTGGTCGACTAAGGACTGTAGCTTCGAACATGACCAGGATATGCAAGGTGCACACTACTTCAAAAATCCAGCCACTCATTTCTATCATCATAACTTCATCCTCTGACACGATTTGGAAAGCTAGCACACACTGGTCGGATCCAGCATACACATGGTGGTGGTGCTGCACTGCTGGTCACTACAGAGTGTTCCATTGTTGTAAATGTCGGCTTGAGCTGAAAGTATTTGGGCACATCCATCGCAAGTCGAACGACACAAAAAAGGCGTTTGTACGATATTCTCTACCACATCCTCGCGCCAGTACTGCTTGGACCACTCTACCCCCCCTAAAGACGTAGGAGGAAACCAAATGCATGAAGCATTGGCCATCTCTGAGGTCTCATGAGTCTGCTACTACACTTACAAGCATGGCAACTATATGCTACATGTTGACTGGGATATATCGCACATCGGCGTGTTTGCACATCTGGGTACATCAGATGGGACGCAAGAAGGTTACATACGTGCATTGCTCGAAGTGCAACTTGCAAAGTTGACATGTTGTAATGGGGTAGCCCGTTACATGAAATTGACATCAAACGGTGTCAAAAGGAATATTGTCTAGCATGACAATATTCTAACAAAATTATCCGGGATGGATAAAATTGAAGGAGCATTATCCCCTTTTGAATAATATTCACGCTCTGCTCCAAGATTGGTTGATATAAGACATATCAACCATAAATTGCCACCAATCGCAGCTAGACGCGCGCAATGAGTGGTGAGCAGGTTGTCATACGACGGTGTAGTTTAATATAGTTAGATAAAGATTAAAGTTACATCAACAGCTTAATTATATTAAATACAGTTCTCTTTTTACCTTTACTTGACCGAGTCGTTAGAGTAGATTAGCTTCCTCTGCACATACTAGTGTATGTGAAGTTTCGCGGCACCCCAAACAAAGGGTGCCCCGTTACACACATGATGCACGACATCGAAGTCGGGGGTAACGAGAAACGCTCAGAGAGCTCCGACAGTGGTGAATTTTCATGCTGTAGCTCGCAAGACTTGTTCATTCTACTTCTTCCTCTTTTCTGGTACATAAGTTGTTACGTAAGGGACAACACCATGTAGTCGGAAAAAAAGGAGAAGCTCGATTTGCAAGAGAAGTAGCGCATCAAGTACAAATCAACCATTCGATCGAAATGTCTCCAGTATATGCAGCTTGCAGTTGGAAATGAAATGCGAAAGCAGCGACGAAAGCGAAGAACGCAGAGCAAATGGCCTCGGACCGAGGACCAGTGGACAGAATCAACTCGCTGCAACCTAATTGTAACGGGGCACCCTGAAGCTTTTACTGATGACAGTACAAGCTACTTTTTCTGATGACAGAATAAGGAGGTGCCTCGGAACTTCACTTACACTGGTACGTGCAGAGGAAGACGGTAAGAAGAAGCGAGTACTTGATTAAAGTAAAAAGTAGAACTGTATTTATCATAGTTAATGTCTGTTAATAAACTACTGTTTGTCCTCATCTAACTATGTCTGAATACAAATGTGTATATCAACTATCTGCTCACCACTCATTGCGTGCGTCTGTCGTGGCGCGCCTTCGTTGGTTGATATAATGGCCTATATCAACCAATTAGGAACTACTCGTGAGTGCTGCAGAATATTTGTCCTTATGACAATAGTCTGAGAACATGACTCTTATAGTTATATTCTATTAACAATTTCTCATAAATTGTTATGTAACGATTCACCCCGTTACACTAGTGTAAGAAAAAGCTGAGATACTAGAATAGAAAAAAGACGAGTAACCGAGTAGGCGAAGAACCTGCAGTCTCAAGTGATACATCTTGAAAGGTTCACATGTGCGAGAGTAAAATATGTACGGCGCCATTGAAGTTCTGGAAATGCTCCCACGTAGCCAGAGTCCACATCAAATTGCTGGACTGAAGTGTTCGTAACTTCTACATTGTGCCGGCCGGCTTACCACCGCTATCTGTAGTCCATAAGAACAATCATGCAAAAAGTACCCTAACGCGCAAGTCGGATTCCCGTTCCCTGACACCACCCGTCTCGGATACTGATGTAACCGATTCCATGCGTTTTTGGGTACACCGTGGTAGCTGGTCAAACATCAATAGCAAATTAGAAAACGAACGTGTTAATCGTTCACTGCAACTCGTACAGGTCCATCGACCTCTTGAGAGCCTTTGGGAAGTGGTTTCTTCCCGAGTGCACACTGAACTAGCTCCTGGATCCTGGAGGCTCTGGCACTCTTCTTTTTGCGACGAACTCCGTCAGCGTTACCACTTGCTCGCTGGGTGCGTTCCTGGTCCTTTAGCACACCCTGACTCAGTTTCTTGTTCTGAAAGAAGTCCCGCACGCAATAGATTGTCACAGTCTCGCCGTAGTCTGCCGACGCAAACGTATGCATAAGTCCATACTGCACGAAAGTCCGTAACAATTACACCACCTACAGTGAAAATTAGGTTCCCGAAACTCATTTTTGAGCACAGGTTTCTTCAGCTTTGAGGGTTCTGGCTCAGACTTTTCCTCCTCTGTCGAAACAAAGTAGTTGCAGCAACCACGATAATAGAAAGTGTATCGCCAACTGTTACTTCAGACCTCCCATACAGAATAATTACAAGAACATATCAAGCACGAAGGACTATCAAAAGTACCTTTTGGGTGCATGCCGCACACCTGAGCGCGCGTGAGGCAGCACCTCTTGCATGCCACATTCGCACAACACGCAGCCACTTGCTTCTTGCTGGTACAGAACTGACACGTGCGTGTGGCTGTTGCTGCCGATACGGTCTTGGCGCGTTTAAGTGGATGCAAGTCCTCCCCAGCCGCGACCGTAGCGTCATGATTGGCTGCGCTCGTCATGCGTGTATAATTAGTCAGGTCTCAATGCTTTTTGTTTACTAGTACGCGTCTTTACGCACGATGGGTACAGTCGGTCACTAAAGTGAACATACCCCACCGTCCTGCAGTTTTGAGTCGTTTTTGTTAAAGCCTTTGAAACGTCATACCGACTCGATCGGTATTACTGCGTGATACAAACGAGAGGTAGATAGAACGAGGAACAACGGCGCGTGACGCGAGACGATCGATGGTGACGCTCCACGTGAAGACGACGGCAGGGACCAAGCTGGACGTGGATGTGACGCTCGAGAGCTTGGTCCTGCAGTGCAAGGAGGCTCTTGTGGTGCTCACAGAAGTGCCCACGTCTCTCCAGCGTCTCATTTACAAGGGCAAAGTACTCAAGGACGACCAGACGCTCGTGAGCTACGGGATCCAGGCAGAAGACACGATTTACTTTGTCAAGGGGTCAGCACGTACCCGTCCAGCAGATGCTTCGGCTGCAGCAGCAGTTCCAGATGCAGCATCTTCTTTTTCTGCTGCTGCTGCTGCTGCTACTCCAGTTCCAGCTCCAGCTCTAGGTGGTGACCCATTTAATTTTGCATCAATGGCGGGTTTTACAGGCACTGGGACTGGCAATTTATTCGGAAACTTGATGGGAAATGGAGGAAGCGCTGCAGACATGCAACAGATGCAGCAGCAGATGATGGAGAACCCCGAGATGGTGCGCCAGATGATGGACTCGCCTATGATGCAGAATATCCTCAGCAATCCTGAGGTGATGCGCACGGTGATGCAGAGTAACCCGGCTATGCAGCAGTTGATGGAGCAAAACCCGCAGCTTAACCACATTATGAACGATCCGGAACTGCTGCGGCAGAGCATGGAGGCGATGCGCAACCCTGCGGCGATGCGGGAAATGATGCGAAACCAAGACACGGCACTGCGAAACATTGAGAGCCATCCTGAGGGATTTAACGCGTTGCGACGCATGTATCACGACGTGCAGGAGCCTCTGATGGATGCTGCGGCTAATGGAACGCCAGCACCGCGTGGACCGGCCTTTCCCATGCCAGGTGTAGCTGGTGGAAGCCATACTACCAGCTCGACTTCGACAACAAATCCTGGTGCTGCTTTTAATCCATGGGCTACTTTAGGTGGTGCTGGTGGTGCTGCGTCTACCAATAGCAGTAGTACTGCTGCTGCTGCTGGAGCTGCTGCAAATCCGTGGAGTACCGGCTTAGGCGGTATGGCTAACCTTGGGAGCACGGGAGGAATAGGCGACTTGGGCGGTCTAGGCAGTAATCCAGAGGCGATGGCGCAAATGATGCAGAGTCCCCTGTTTCAAGCAGCGCTGGATCAGGTTGCGAATAACCCCGAACAGTTTCTCGCGCAGATGGAGGCGATGAATCCGCAGATGGCAGCTATGATGGGCGCGAATCCGCAGATGCGACAAATGATGTCAAACCCCGAGTTTCTACGTCAAGCTATGAACCCGCAGAACCTGCAGGCGATGACGCAAATGCAAAATGCAATGAATCAACTGCGTGGATCTGGACTTTTACCAGGGTACGTGGTCGACTCTCAAGACATTCAAAAATGTGCTATGGTACTCATTCTTGTTGTCCGTCATTTCTTACGTGCAGTCTCGAAGGCACGAACTTTGGCCCGCCTGGTGGTGCCACGACTGCGGTCAATCCGTTTGCGATGTTTAGTGGTGCGGCCGCGATTCCAAACATCTCGGCAGCATCGGCAGGCAATCCAGAAGAGGTGTACGCGTCGCAGTTGACGCAACTCAGCGACATGGGCTTTTCCAATCGCGAGCAGAACGTTCGTGCTTTACAAGCCACACTAGGCAACGTCCAAGCCGCGGTCGACCGTCTTCTCGGTGGTGGTCCCATGTAGTTAGTGCCTAGCATGTCAGTCAATGCATGCGCTTGAATGCAACTCACTTCTATCGCTATTGCCAACAGTTCATTATTGTAATCGCCAGGACGACGGGCTCTCGTTATTCGTGCTATTTTACCACCGCTATTGCCATTATTGCAAATTCCGACCCCTAATAATAACGTCCTCTGCGGTAGATCGCGCGTAAATAAGCGTTACCTTCGTGCCACCGCCCACTCACAAAAACTTGTCGAAATGGCACACGACAGCGCGCGCGACTTGCTCCGGGCTAGCGTCACCGACGGAGACGCCGTGCGTCGGTACCTCGAGTCTATCGAGAACCACGAGGTTCACAGCTGCTCGTCCTCCTCCTCCTCTGTATCACCCTCACCCCCAATTGCCACTCACCTGTGTCTCTTTGCTATATGCAGTTGAACGAGCTACTCGACGGTCTCTCCAGTTGCACTCACAAGGCGAAGCAGCAGCAGGAGAACCGGCATTTGCCTCATTCAAAGTGCAGTGTACTCGTGCACGATGATTGGCTGCCGCTAATCCGGCTCCTGGTGCAGTGTGAGACCACACGACTCCGCACGGCGTCTCGTGTTCTTTACGCCTTGCGTCGAGGACGTCCCAGTGAGCTGGAGAGCATGCAGTTGCTGACTGAAGTGAGCTTGGGCTACTCGAGTGCACTGGACGAACTGCAGGAGGTTCAAAAGATGACCGAAACAACACGTCGGATAGTGCAGCGGCAAAAGCTGCGGGACGAGGTGCACGCAGTGCTGGACACGGTCTTTTGTTTCTTGGAGGAGGAAGTTGTTGTTTCTACTGAGGGTGGAATGGTTGCTGGGAGAGGAGACAAGAGTGGTGGACGTGTTTGCAATAGCAATGGGAGTAACAGAAGTGGGGACAAAGTCAAGCTGCTGCCACAGTTGCTGGGACTAGTGTCGTTCTTTTTGGGCCTTTGTGGTGAGCTGCGTAGAAAGGGAGAGCAAGGGACGAGTGAGGTGCGTGCAGCACGTATGGATATGGAAGTGAGAGCAATCAAACAGTGGTGAAGGAGCTGAGGGTCTTGATTGTGTTTTTCCCTTTCTGTCTCTTTATACTTTCTTCTTGTAGACGTTGGTTAGGTTGCTGGAGTTGCCGTGGAACTGCTGGACAGTGCCGACTTTGCTGGATGTACTGGCAGACGATCCGTCGTTAATGTCGAGGGAAAGCTGGCAGCAGTTGCAGGTAAGCTTGTGAAGTTCATGGTCAAATAGATAGATGGGTATTTTGATTAGTAGACTCGTCTGCTTTTGCGTGCGTGGACGTCTGAACTGCCGTGCTGTTGAGTAGGAAACTGTCGAGCGTTTGGTGACGACGTCACAGAAGATGACGAGTGAGACAATGAAGCCTATGATCCGGGAGTGCGTTATGGTAGCGAGTGTGACGGGCGAACATAAGTGGATCGCTATTGCGCGCTACGTACTACAACAACTGCCCGTGCAGCTGCGACAAGAGACAGAATTCAATCTGCAAATGGTGTGTGGATGACGAGAGCTTTGCTCGCAAACGATTCTCGATGTTGTCTTACATCTGCTTATATGGATTGCAGAGCCTTCGCCAGTCCCCATGCATCGTTTCGCTCATATGCGAATCCATTCGATCCAGCAGGATATCAGGCGTTGTTCCAGAAAACACTGACAGTTTATCAAATGGCCTGCAGTGCGGTGCAGCAGGCGTCCAATCGGGTTGGCGCGATCTCCTGCTGCTTCTTCATTCCCTACAGGCATCAAAGCCAATTCTGCACCACCGAATGTCGTCCTCTCGTGTCGCGACCGAAGCATCTGTGTTTACAGAGATTGAGCACCTTGCGTGGCTCATTGTGCACAGTGATTTCACGGTATTTACGGGCTCTGCGTCACCGAAGGAGATACAGTCGCAGGGAGCAAGTAGAACACTCGAGAAGCATGTGCTCGATCAAGTGGGGCTTGTGCTAAATTTTGGTGGCAAGCAGATCCATGCTCGCGAATGGAAGGCACTGCTCTTGATGGATATAGTTTTTTATTGGATAGAGCAAAGCGTGACAACTTGTGCTGGCGACATAACAGCAGCGTCAAAGTCTACGTTGGCCCTGATACTGTTACAAGCGATATTCGAAACGGTGCGTAGGCTGTCTTTCGTTGTTGGCTTGTTAAAACCGCTCTTTTTTATTGTAATAGGCAGCAGAAACTCGCTCTGAAGTACTCAGTTGTTTATTTGAGCGCTCTCGAAAGCCAGCACTGAGAAAGGTAAGTTGCTGATAATTTGCGGGGTAGAAAAATCCAGAGTCCTGATCAGCTTGTGCGCTGCTGCTGTTTTACTTGTAGATTGCTGGCGAAACACTTTCACAATTGTTTATTTCACAGTCAACAAAGCTCTTCCCGCACCTTAATGCGATCCAAGACTGGCTCAGGTATTGATAAGCTTAGACGTATGTAACTGGTCCTGGACTAACTCCGTCTGTATTGCCGCGTGCAGCATGCAGTTTCAACGATCATTCGACAGCGCCCGCGACTTTTTTTTCATTGCATCCAATTTAGCGACGGTGTATAAAGGTGCACATCTACTACGAAGGATATGCCAGGGTGAATTCTGACAGCGTGTGCAATTGTCGTACAACTGTACTAGATTTGTATAGCTTCCTGATGGTATTTCTGCGGAAACTATTGTCAACTAGCAATCGGCTGCATCAGCAGTTTGTCGTGGACATGTGGTGTACGTGGCTTGACCGCCAGCTACCATTCAATGAGCAGCAAGAGGTATGTGATCTGTGTTCTACGATATGAAGAATGGAGGTTAACTTTTTACACTATCCAGGAAGAAATAGTCTCGGCACTTATAAACAGTGTGACGGCTACGCGTGACATACAAGCGTGGTCATTTGGACGTTTGGAGCAGTTGTTTACCTTCCACGACAGTACAGTTGAGGGGGATGTCATCTTGCTGCGCAAAAGCTCATGGGAAAAGTTTTATCGGTTCTTGTCTCAAGAAGTTGGCAAGTTTATCGTGCCAACGACATTAGGCGTCGTGGAGTACGGCATTGACGATGCTGAAGGCTGCACGGATGAGAGGAACGATGAGGATTCAGGGTTACTGCGGTTTCGTTTCACCGCGCTCGATGTATTTTATCAGCAAAATGCTAGTCTGGATGGTGCAGCATCCACTGGTCTGATATTTCAAAAACTGCTATCTTGTTTGATAAAGTTCGAGAATAGCGTTACCCAGTCAAAAGTCTCGTCTGAGGGATTGCCGATTGAAGGCCTTATTGAAAACGTCAGCGACATCAAACGGTGGTTCGTCGACCTCGTTTCCAGCTGGAAGTACTTTTTTCACTGGATTTGCCAGGACTCGGAGGTGCTGCTGAATCAGCCAGCGCGAGGTGATGCACGCGAGAAGACCGGATGGTGGAAGCTTGTCGCGCGCGTCTATATTGGTTGTGCTATTTGTAATGTTGCCATCGAACTGCTGATGTGGAGATTGCCTGCTGGAAACTCGAGCAAACGTGATAGGGTGGACCACGAACTGGCTGCGTTTGATACTGATGATGGTGGGATATCGGTTTGGTCTTTGATGGAAGTAGAGTTTAGTTTACAGCGAATGATACAGAAACTTGTTTCTCGCTACGTGAACGGGGCGGGAACAAGCTTGTCGACGGAGTACGTCAAGTCGACATTGCATGGACTTCATCGAGTGTTGCAACCCGCCATGATTCGTACTTTAACAGTTGTCGGGACAGCCCTACAAGAGACACTTACATCTAAGTCAGCAAAGCACGAACGGCCCAATGGAATGTCGTTCGACGCCGTTCTCTTTGCTTTGGACTCCTGCTCTCGCAGCACTTTAGGTGATGACGATACGTGTGGGGCGTTATGTCATTGGGATACTAGAGCCGACGATTTAGAAGAAGCTAGCTCCATTCTCGAATTGCTATTGCGCGTATACATCAACACTCGCAATTACATTGTGCCACTGCCGAACGACTCCGGCGCTGACGGCATGAGAATGAGAGACGAGATGGAAAAGAAGTCTGCTTGTAGGCTGCCTCTTTCTGTTTATGCGGACTCCATTTCTGCCAAATTTCCAGTGTTTGCGCGGCATCTTGTGGCTCCTGGAAAACGTGCCAAAGCTGTTGTTCTGCTGGATCCAAAAAGTGGAGAAGAGATTCTAGAACGCGTCTGTACAGCCATAGGGCGCACCCTGGAGGTGATGACAAAGTCCTCGAGTCTTCATTCGGTACACGACCGACTTGGACAAATATTGCTCAGGGTTTCGTGGAATGGGCTTAGTGAACCGACTGAGATCCAAGAAATTGGCGAGCGAAACAATTTTGCCTGTTTATCGGGCTATTTTTTGGGTGACATTAAGAATTATGTTCAGCTAGACGGGTTCGCCAAGACCAGCGTGTCGTGCGCCTCACTAAGCAAACGTTTGCTGGACAATACTGCGGAGATGGTGGATCCCGCTGTGAACTGTGTAGATTTGTATGAGCTTTCATCGCTCGCGTACGACATCTTGTGCGATAATGTTGTCCACAATGCACGACTGCTTCGACTTCTCATGAATATATGTCTCCCTACTCACCTGGCGCTCCACATTACGACTTTTGCGATGTTGGAAGGCAAGATTGAAGCAGTCATTCAGACGTGCAGGTCTAATTCGGCGGAAGATATGGACGTATCAACGAGCAAGGACTGCCATCAACGCAGACTAGCTCTAGAGAAAACGAAGAAAAGCAGTGGTGCAGTGGCGCATCGGAAGCGTTTACGACAACAAAGTGACGTCCGGTCCCTGTACAACTTGAGTGTAGATTCTGACACTGATTTTAACGCTAGCTACTCTTCTGACTCCGACTTGTCTGATGACACCAACGTAGCTGCGGATTCACGTACAGGCGTCATCAAGTACCGACAGTATACTTCGTCCCAGACAGATCGCGTTCCACATCTCCAGTCTTGTGCGACCCGACGCATTGCCGTTGTTACCGTTTTGGCCGCACTCGAACAATCTCAGTCCACATTGCTCCAAGTTCTTTCTGCTAAGCACAGAGACAAGGAGCCTTTCGAGCACGAGGAATTGATGGGTTATATTCGCATTCACGAGGTAGTGAATACAGCAATCAGCGCCGACATCGATTTTTTGTGCGAGACTCGAAACGTGTTGCTGAAAGTTCTTCACATGATGGAACTGGGGCTGCGCATTGGTAAAGCCATTGGGACAATGCAGCGAAAAGGAGGTGATCTGGAAGTCAAATGGCACGACAGTGCAATCTGCATTTATGAATTTTCGGTGATGTCAGCATTAAGAAACCGAGTATGGGCAGGTGGGATCAAGGATGCAAGTGAGGATTTGGATATCAAAACCAAGGTGCGCTTTGTTTTCGAGGTCAAGATTAACGTTGTGCATTCTTCGGCTCACTAATCACTCGCATTTTGGACTCGACCGGTAGGTATCTTCGACCTTGCTCAAAATGGACATATTCTTCTTACAAGTTCCGGGCATCGTGCAGACTTGGCTGAAAGAGGTAGGCATTATTCTGTTTGTATGAAGTGTGCACGTTTGATCCACACTTACGTTTTAGCTATATTGCAGATGTCGATACCAGGGCCGACAAAAGAACGGTTGAAGTCACTTGTGATGATGGTAAAGGACCAAATTGCGCCAACCAGTTTGTCCGAAATTCGTCGTGGAAAGGCAAAGGCTCGACAGCGCTTGCTTGGCGTCGTCCCGATCGTGAGGAAAAGGAAAAAGCGGCTACGGAGTCGTCATCCTGTCATTGACGCTTTTCTCAACGAAGAAGACGGCGCAGATGCATTCGCTGACTTGGAAGATTTTATTGAATAGATCAGGACCGTAATCCTCCATGACGATACGTGTGAATCGTGTCCGACACCTCTGCGTGTATTCCAGCTCCCGAATCTACGTGGAGATACATTGGACCAAAGATGTCGCACGTTGCAGAGACTGATTGAGCAAGTGCAAGAAGAACCAATATCGTCGGGCTCGCGCACCTTGAGTCAGAGTTTGTGCTTTCCTGCCAAGACTGTCGTGATGGGATTGCTCACGGTTTCCAGAATTGAGGTCGTAACTTCCAGGCTCAGGTCTTAGGAGGAGTAATGTTTTCTGGAGATCGAAGCAGACGTGGAAACGTGTTCGCGGTGTCAGCGTTTGCGCTGCTTGCCATATTCGCATAGATGGGGGGTTGAGATCACCTAAGATAATCTCGACCTACTCGATAAAGGTCTTGCACCCTCGTTCCGGCACTCGAAGCGGTATAGTGATTTCCGTGCTCAGCAGTGAATGCGTCATTGATACAAAGGCTATGGAAAGCGTAGCTGGAACCATATAATGCGTCGTATCCTGCAAGGGCTTATGGTTTGCTGTTAGAGTGCCAAAACCGACACGGATTCAAAGAATGGGTTTTAAATCCTGGGGAACTTGCTGACGGTATTCGAATTGCCGGCTGGTTGTTCTTTCGGGGCAGATAGCTGCTACATGCCACACGCTTGTGGGCCAAACACGTCGCCTTGAAGCTACTGGGAAAATGATTTCTCATCATTATCACCGTAAATCCAAGGGTTTATATTTTAAAATTATTACGGATCTCATCCGACAGACATTACGAGCAAAATTTAAAGCGACGAGTGGTGGAACGATTCGCCCATATAACTGATGCTGGAAGCAAGATCACCGGACTTACCTCTGCCGGTATCTGACATCCGTTGCATGAGGTGATATATAGATACCCTTACACTTGGATACAGCTGCTTTAATCGGCGGGTTATCGGCGGAACGACAAAGTTGCAGACTTTGGTGCATACGGAAACTAAAAAAAGCCGAAGCGAAGACTTGGCAGGCTCTCTTTGTTCAAGACTAAGTAAATCGAGACGCGATGTTGCCGCCTGTGGGATACTTGTTGAAGGTGGGCACGGGCTTATTATCTTGAAGGCAGCACGAGGGCCTATTTCAACAGCTTGAGCTTGTGCGTTGTACACGGCTAAAAGACGATCAGGTCAGGACGTGAATACTGGAAGGTGTGCAGCTTCTTTGATAGAAATTGGCACCATCTTATCTTGGCTACTGCAACTGGAACAATCCCCTTAGAATCTCGGGCTCGCTGTAGAATGGAAGAAGCAGCTGCCAACCTGCCAAGCAAGAGCCTGAGATGTAAAGTGCTCAACGGTCACAAGAGATACGAACGTTTGTACACACACAGAGCTGGACTTCATCGATCTCTTGACCCTGCTCAGTAGTCGTACTCTTCGCGAGATGGAAGCTGTAGACTTTATCGGTGGAGCGAAACACGTAAAGTTACCACAAAGCTTGCATTAGAATGACAAGCGCGTGAATAGCGGAGCCATCAATGTCGACAAGAATGCGTCATTGTACGTAGCAAATACCGGCATGTTGCTACGTTTTTGGTGCAAGCACAGACTTCCGACAAAAAAGACTTCCGATATTCTACGTTCACGTACTCTGGTGCTATACACAGTCCGTCAGCGGTTTTGCTCTTCCTGCGAAGTGTGGACGTAAACTCCGACCACAGTCGATCAGTGTTACCTTCAACAACTGGGCAATGAATGGCGCTGGCACTTCTCATGGCAGGAAAGCATTTCAGGCTTCTGAAAGGTGCGTAACATCTTGACTGTATAAATGCTACTGCTGAAGCTTGATTAAGCTCTACAGAGTCGGCAACATCACATATTCTATTGCTTCCGACGAGGTTGCCACCTGTACGACAATTCGTCATAGCGATGCTGAAATCGGAATGAGAGGAGCTTTTTGTTCCTTTGGCAAGCTACAATACCTACTCGATTCAAATTGTGAACAATGACGCTGCTGTATAGTATAGCGTCACCGCCGTTCACTGCAATCATCGCTGTATGAGCAGTCGAATGTTACCGTTGATCCGATTACGATTTGATACAAAAGTAAATGTAGCGTGTCGTTGACGGACTGCAAAAGCTGCGCAAGAATATATCACGAGTCGAATCAGTATCCTTATCTTGTTTGATTGACTGCACGAGTGGGTGACGTAAGCGATCAGTATGTTCGGTAAGATTGGTCGTCTACGAGGTGTTGGCGTGTGTAAAATCAAGTTCTTGTACGAGTACGCGGTTTTTACGTTGATTCCGATACATGCAACCTCGCTGTAGTCATGAAGATATTGGAAAGGAGGAGCTGACGCTTCCGCGAGATCGGGTGTACGTAGCATCACAACTAAGGCGTCACCGAACGCGTTCCTCTCAATATCTTTTATCCGTAGAAAACTTGCATTACAAGATGAAAAGTGATTGTACCTGTTAGGAGCTCTTCCACTAGCTTTTGGGGCTTTCCTGCAATATGCAAGGTCACCAGAAGGTGTACTGGAGGCTACCTGAAGACGCGCCATTGTCGTCAGGTTAAATGCAACTATCCTGCAACGTACGTTAAAGTCGAGCAGGCAGTAGTGGTCGTAAATTGAACCCTTTGTTAGACGTTCTTAGAAATGGGCTGAGCCCGTTTGGTATCGGCTAGCGGCTGGAAACGACTGGGTCGAATGCCTACGATCACTAGATGTTTCAAGGTGCTGATGGTGTACGAGCTGCCAAAAGTCCTGATAAGCTGTGACAGATAAAGCTGACACCTGATTATAAATGTCAGTAATCATCTTTGGAAATTGTTCAGCATCCCATGTCCCTACCAAGGCATTGCAGATGTGGTGGTAGAAATTCGACAGGGTGTAAACTTCGGTATTCAGTATGGATATCAGATGTCTAGAGCTGTCGAATCTTCAAGATCCGGGTTCGTCGATAAAGCTTCAGGTTATGGGTCGAGATCGTCCGTCGGCGTCGTCGAGTCTTGTTCGTACGACTCGAAGTCATCGAATTTTGGTTGGCAAATATAAGAATTTGCTTCTGGGTCGTCAAATCCGAGACCGTCGAGTTCGGGACGGCGCGTCTGACAGACTAACGATTGATGAACGAGTGCTTATCTATGGAGAGAGTTAGGAGATCGACTGTGCAATTTCTTGGATATTCATGTCGTAGAGAAGAGAATGAAGAAGAGTTACGCAAGTGGCTCCTACAAATAGTAAAGTGGCGAGTCAACGAAGCGGGGTTCGACATCGTGATCTGATAGTACGCTGGTCTCACTTTGTCCTGATGATAGGTCTTTTTGCCTGCACCACGGCATGGGCCAAGCCACAACAACTCGAAGCAGTAGTTGCGATGAGGCCACTGCTGGTGTCTCTGCCTCTTGGACAAGCGGCTGAGATACTATATTTCCGAAGTTTCCATCACGATGAATAAATTCAAATGAACTTCTACAGCTCTGTTCTACTACGCCACATCGTTTGGATAATACAGCGATCATGTTGTATAGCTGTTCCTACGGTGTGTCGGTGTACTCGTCACGATTGCTGACATTGCTGCAAAGGAAGTACTTTTATTCTGGTCATGTTGACGATTAAAGTGGCTTAGAATTAAGCTGGCTCCTGACATGGTGTTAATCGCACGAGGCAGCAAGATGAACCTGAATCCGAGTACACTGGATCACACTATAGCTCGTGTCCATGCAAGTGATCGACGTGGGGTGTCGAATGATGATTTCAAGTGTCACGTGCTTTGTGGTGATCCGGGCGTGTCGTGACTCAAAACTCTTGGCGAAATTACGAAGAGCTTCTGGAAGCTGTAGAACGACGCTTTCACGATCCCAATTTCGAGTGGGTGCATGTCGCGCGTGCTGAAGTCATGTACTCGGTACACTATGTGGTGGGTACAACTACGAATATGACGACACCCGGAACGAATGTAGGAGATCTATCAGAAGAGTGCAAGTCGCGTACTCATTTATCCCATCCAGCCTCGCTGCAGCTCTGCGCGTTGAAAACATGCGATGGTGCTGCCTTTTGTTATGGCACGGCGTAGATTGTAAACAACTGATGCGGGCGATGTGTGTCAAGCTAAAAAGAATCTCCACTTCAAATTTAATGCCAGCCAGCACAGGTCCTCGTTGAATTACAGTATTCTTAAATATGAGCGTCCTGCTGCAGAGTCGAGACCCGAAGTTGCCTTGGACGTGCAGAGGATGCCCTTCATTTTGTAATGCAAACGCCTCTGTTGTTGATATCTAGCTCTTCGTTACATCATATAATTGTCGGGATCTTGGAAGAGGAATGTCCATAAGAATGAGTTGTAGGGTCTTTCAATGCACCGCTTCAATTCGTAGCAAACACTTCACCCCAGTTTGTTTGCTTTCGTGCCCACCAAGCATTGGGCAATTACCCACTCTAAGTGATTTTTCTACGTTGAATCGAAGCGATTGCAATGCACCAAAGTGTACACACACGAGTTGTACAACGCTGATGCACATTTCATTTTGATGCAATTACTTCGCACGTGGCAACCTGTTACATCTTGGAACTTTTTTACTTTCCGTGTCTTAACACGGAAAGTCTCGTGCAACGGTTCGACTCCGTTACATCTTTGGTCGATTCATGGATTTAAGAGCGAAAGTAATCAGCACTCTATTCCAGATACACTGACGCCTTTGCGCGTTCGGTGTGCGTGCTTGTATGCAACTGTCGGGAAAAGTATCTTACAATCGTGTTGACTGGTAACAATGACAACATTGATCAAAGTGACTGAAGAATGATGCGAAATCTACTGTGACTAGCTGTTTAATAGCTCCTGTCATTCACTGGTTTCTTAATGTAGTCTAATATGGGGTGGAATTGTATATTTTCGTCACAAGCATGTACATGCTGCAGCTTCTATCGCAGTTGGGAGTCGGTAGTAATACGTGAACAAAGAGCTCTTGTTTGCCTTTACAGTCTACAGTGTCCACTTGACAGAAACACATACATGTGGACTCAAAAAGAGCATGTTTTGACCAGCCTCCTCTCTTTTTCGTGAGACATTGCTTGCTTTCGCTTTATGATAGGATCGTGTGATTTGATCGAGAAAAGTGGTGATAACTCGAACACGCCTCTCACGAAGTCTACCGTATCGACACTGATGCGAAATGTTGATGCGATAGACTTTCATGATCCATGATTAACAGAAGACTCCGTAAATGCTGCAAGCATCCGTCCGCATTGTTAGCGCAATAGTGCATACTTTGGACCACAATGTGGTCGCAAGAAATCACAGTGACACGTGTAAGGGCTGGTTCTCCAATCATAAATTTTAGCACACGATGCTTGTACTGCAGCTCTGTTTAGCTGAGCAAATACCAAAAATTCTTTGTATGTCGTCGATTACGCGATGTTCGGCTCAGCTACGATTTGTGATTTTTTGATAGAACATTTTGAACATGTTCCTTCCGATGCACGCAGCAATTGTAGACAGATGTTGATACACATACGCTTAGTCTCCATGAATTCACATTTTCACCTACTAGACGTCGCGAACCCGAACGCCATCGACAACGGATGGTTGGGGACAGTAAAAGTGCCATAATCTCAAGCATTTGTCTAGGCAACGACGTGGTGCCAAAGCTGCTGTCGAAGCCAACCGAGACTATTTTGCTCTCAGACTGAGCTGCTCAACCCTTTGCAAGCCAATTCTCTGTATAGTAGAATCGGTAGATTTCCGAATCCGACAGATTTCATGTGAATAGCTTGCTTGCAAAGAACTGATGTCACAGAGACTGCCATACAGGTCATCAAACAGATGATCCAAAGTAGAAAAGCGAATAGACCTTGATGCCCTCTCAAACTGCAACGTGTCGTCCCAACATGCGATACAGTAGACACCACAAATCAACTCTGGCAAGGTCAACATCTCTCGGCAGGGCGCAATGTCGCACACATAAAGTGCATATTCACGTAGATGCTGTGAGCCGTTCAACACGTGCTTGCTAACACCTTATCGTCCTTGTTTCCGGAGGTACCAAGTACTTCATATACAAGGTCTTAGCACAGCAAATTTCACCAAACCTTTGCAATGGTGATCACGCGATACAGACGTGACAAACAGGGACAGCGCTCGATCCAAGCGAACGCAACATCCACATTTGTTACTGAGATGGATGTGCCGGCATGTGAAATCTTCAGCAAGGCATGCTGCGGACCGATAGATGCATGACAACCAAGAAACTTGCCAAGCATACAGCTATGGGCGTGCACATCCTGCTCTTCCGCTACAAACATCAGTATTTGCTGTTGCTCACGGTGAACTCCATGTCGTCGATAAGAATACGGCTCTTACCAACGTTTCCAGTGACTTTATCGTTCAAAGATAACATCCGGCTATGTCATCAAACCGGGTGAGAGACAGCGGCGTCAAAGATAAGCGTTGTCGGAACTGGAAAGAGAGCTAAAAGCTCACGTGGCTAATAAAGCCTCATGTGATTTATACTAGTGTCGATCACTTCCATGGCGACTAGCCTGTTTTCGCAAAGGGGGCAATGCCCGACCTATGTCAGACCTGTCCTTCCATATGTATCATTTGAACTGATACATGGCAGTAGTCGCTCGAAAGGTCCGACGCCACTGGAGACACTCAGATTCCGCCGCGCATACGCGGTATGTGGGCTTACAGACGTCGGCGTCTGGACATAGACAAGGCATTGACACTCCAAAGTCTTGGTTCGTGGTACACATTACCGTATTCATCAACGTCAGCCCCAAGATGCCTGGCTTGTTATGTGGACAGAAACACGCCCGAAATCGAAGGCAGTATTCTCACAGAGAAGTCGCTCCTCACTACGGATTACAGTTCGTGAGCTTACGGATACAAGCAGCTTTGCACGCCGCGTTCGCGCCAAAAGTTTGCAGGACGTCTTTCCGACGACCACTTCAACATTGTCGAAGCTCATCCACTCGGCATCAATGCGTCAACTCACATGCATCAAATATTAACTCCCTGTTGTTCATGTCGTGGCCCTGCACATGCTTGAACACGGCATGATTCATAGAGCAAGATAGCGATTCCATCAGCAGACAGCCAGGACCATGTCATCTCAACCCGTCAGTAATGACAACGCTCTGTCATCGAGAACACCTCGTTTGTAGATCGATGCAAGTGATACATCCTCTCGACAATACCCGGCTACCCTCCACTTTTCCTACGAAATGCTGGGGCAAAGCACTGCTGTCTCCACAATACGTCCCAGTTAATTCCATTCAGGACAATTGACACGCCTGCACTACAACAATAACACCACACAATGGCCCCTCCCACTGATCACCGAAAGCCCCACATCTTCTTTCCATCATTCACTTCCTTGATCTCACGCTTTGCCACACGCTCCGTACGGTGTGTACGATCCTAATCACAGTCACGTCTACTTTTTCTTGGAAACTGATGGCATTTGCTTCGCTTTTGCACCAACAGGATCAGCTTTCGGATTCTTCGCAGACACAGCGGTAGCTGGAGCCCCATCAGCAGAGGATCCATGAGGAGAGTTGCCGCTGCCAGACGAGGGAGGAAGAGGGGGTTGAGGACCTGCACCTCCAGGCATGCCAGCGAATGGTACGCCAGCTCCCGGAATGCCACCGTTTAGCGGCGGGCAGTACCCGCGAGGAGTGTATCCCTGCTGCTGAAAACCACCAAAGTTACCGTGTTGACCGCCCATCATGCGCATGTTTTGCTGAGGCATGAGAGGAGAGTACATCATAGGAACTCCGTTCGGTCCCATTGGTATCGCATACCCGCCCTGCACGTAAGGAGGCATGCCCATCTCACCACCACCTTCTTCGACACTCATAGCACCATCATACATCCATTCCTCTTGCATCTGCGGGGGATACCCCATTGCAGGATGCAGGTAAGGCATATGACCTAGTGAGCCACCGCGGTAAGGCGACGTCCCATGTCCTCTTATAACTGGAGCCACTGAGAAACTAGGCGTGAACTCGGCTGCCGAGGCACTTAGCTTGAACTCCTTGGCATTCAGATTCAATCCCTTCTTCGATACAGCCTTCAATGTCTCGTCTTTCGCCACCTTCCGTGTAGTTGTTGTGGTGCTGGTCACCGTCGTCGTCGTCAAACATGAGGACTCCGGCTTGCTACTCTCAGCCTTGTAGTCCATCTTTGTCTCCGTCTTCTTCTCATTTCTGCCAGCTGATTCCTTCTTCTTCAAGCCAGCTCCCTTCACCTTAACCACAGCGACCTTGCTGTCTGGACTATTTACCGGTATAGACACTACCGCATCCTGCGGACAAGCACCAATCTCTTTCTTCTCATCCAGCTCGTCTTTCAAGACCACTGCAGCCGTAGCAGCAGCAGGTGCAGATCGACCAGTAACAGCTTCACTAAAAGAAAGGGGTTTCGGTGCATCACCAGTCCCCGCAGAAGCAGCAGGAGCAGACGACGCAGCCTCTTCCGTCAGACAAGCCACGGGCGCCGTAGCACTCGGTCCTACCCCAGGCCCTTTAGCTTCTTGCACCTCGTCGCCACTCGATTGACCTTGTGCGCTTCCCGCTTTCCTTAGTGCGGGCGGCACGTAAACAGTCCCACCGCCACTCGCGTTTTCCCGAGGTCCACGACGGTCCACAGAGCTGTACCGCGCCTCTTCGTCCACGTCCATAAGCTGCTGCCCGCCCCGTCGCCACTGGCCGCGCTCTTCTTGCAGATGAAAGTTGCCTACTGCTGTCTGCTGCTCAATCTCCCGCGCGAGCGTCGCAGCGGCCCGCGCCTGTTTGCTCGAGATCTTCGACTTGTCCAGCTTCGTGGTATAAATAGATTCGTCGTACGACGAGACGACGCCAAAGAGCTTCTCGTTCGCTTCAAACTGGTTCCAGGCTCTTATTTGGTTCCTGCGGGAGTCGAGCCCCGGCATTGCACCATCTTCGAGTGCGTCCGTGTCAAGAGCCGGGTCGAGCCACGCGCTGGCGGTTTCCAGCTGTCGACCAATCAGGTGCTCGTGTGTTGTCCCACTGATCTCCGTGTCGGTACAAAACGAGCCACACGAGCCACTAGAGGCAACAAACTGACTGCTGTCGGCTTCGTCGACTGCCCCGTCTGCGACCATGTGCGCCAGCTGGTGGCGGCGGAAAATCACGGTACTGCCATCAGCAAACGGCCGCGTGACGGCGCTATCTGGACTCGCGAGTCGCCTGGCGTTCTTGAGCACGACAGAAAAGTCGTCTGGGTCGATGCAGTCCAAGATGCCGGCGTAGCGCTCGTCCGGCGCCACGAGTCGCAGCTCAACGGCTTTGCCCACTAAGAAACGGAACGCAAATAGCGCGCGGTGGCGGAGGAGACGGACGTGGGCATCTGTAACAAGGAGACAGGGAGAGAGAGGGAGAGAGAGAGAAAAAGGGAAACGGAAACAAGTGTCAACAATAATGCGGACATGACAATGCGGAAAGACAAGAGACGGGTCAACAACACGTCGCTTCTGGCGGTTGCGTGTATACACCAGTATACTTCGTACCACTAAAGTCCGCACTGGTCGAGTCAACAGGACTGGACAGAAACCCTGGGGGCGGCACACTGGTTGCCGAGGGGTCGGGGTTGCCCCATGGACCAGAAACAGGGGGTGGATTCACATGTCGCGGACCGACGGGAACAACAGTCTCTTTGCCAGGACTATTGCCCTTGGACGACGACGATGACGACGACGGTGGCGTCTTCTTCTTTTTCCTGTGTTGGCTCTTGGGGACGCTACCATTCATGCTCTTACGAGGCACCGCTGCTTGGCCGGCAGGTTTCGTTGATGTCATGGGCGTGGGCAGCGAGTCAAAGAGGGGGATGGAAAAGAGAGAGGGGACACCTAGTAGCGAGTTCCCTCTGGTTTTGGTCGTCAATATCCGTTAACGCGGAGTTGCAAGTTCGGGGTGAATGGTCTAGATTGGCAACGGGTATTGTGTGGACCACATGCGTACAACACCAAAATGGGGAAATGGTCCTAGGCACCGACTAAATTATGTAGCCGAGTGGGCATAAATGTTGTATTATAGTGCGTATACATATCCGACCGTAAGGAGTCATGTGTTTGTAGAAATACTGCTACATTTCGTACGAAATTAAAAATGGACCGATGATGGCAAATTTGATTCTGTTATGGTCGTGCTCACGAGCACTGCTTTCTCTTCTACTTGCTCCTAGCCACGCTTTCTACACTGCCTTCTTCTCACCTATACCTAGATTTTGTTACAACGTGCAACCGTTGCCCGTACATCCACGCCCAGATCTGACAGCCGTTCCACTGCGCCCATAAACCTTTCTGGAAAGTCCAATTACTTCCGCCGCCTGTCCTCACCTTTTCCAATTCTTCTCCTTAGATGTAGCTATCTTGGCCGCACCATCAACGCATCACCACCACCACTTAAACGTCATCACCTTGCAACCTTGTCGATTGCATGATCCTTGGAATAATACGACAAGCACATAAGTCCGCGGAAAATTGCGAGCTTCAGAGGGTCCAATGCTTTCGTGAGAAAGTCAGCGATCAATTCCTCCGAGCGCACGTATTCTTCGAAAATGATGCCGCGCCTAGTATAGTCACAAACAAACTTAAGCCGCACGTTAATGTACTTGGCCTTGATTGATGGAGATTCGCCTTCAAGTTGTTTGGTGGCCGCCTGGTTATCCACATGCATCAACACGGGTAAGACCGGCGCCATGCTGACTTCGCGTAATGCTTCGAAGCAACCACAAATTCTGCCTCCATAGTTGACAATGACACGCTGCCTTGTTTTTCGCGCTCCAGATCGATGGCATGATATTAAGTAAAATGAAGATTCCAGTCAATGCCTTGCGGTCCTTTTTGCCACCAGCGAAGTCTGCATCACTGTATGACTCAAGCGTCGGGAGGTCTCGAACTTACACTCTTGGTTTCATCTTCATCTTTAGTCCTTGAGTGTCTTTCAAGTAGCATGCAATACCTTTGTCAATTCCAGTCGTGAACACGTGGCTGGTGGGTTTGGCGTGTCGCTTATGCACTGCAAACGCCACATATGGACTCGTACAACGCGCCACCTGGAATAGACTCGCATCAAGCGACCAGAAATCTTGATTGATGGACTTGTTAAAGAGCTTGTTTTCTTCAGCAGCGCACTGTCTTCATGTTGCACCTCATTACAGTCTGCCCCGATTGGAGCAAGAGTCGAATCCGCTTCATATATTCTTTGCTTGCCAGTTTGTCCTCAATATCCTTTTCTTGATCAAGAACATAGGAGCCATCGTCGACAAGTGCTACTCGCATATCCAGAAACTTTGAAATGCTTCCTGAATCCTTGGTCGATAACGAACCGAGGCTGAGTAAAAAAAATTGTCGATTGCCTTAGCGCTAGTTCTAGTCGCAAGCAAGTTTTCGACACAAACTCCGACCACATCAACGTCTTCACCAATTTGCTGGCGGTACAGACACATGTCCACAACACGTTGCTTAAAACCACTCCCTAATCTGCAGAGCAGTGACCAGTGGTCTAGGCGGAGTCTAAATTGGGCTTACTGACAGGGATGCGCGTAATGTCATCACCTTGCTCTCCTCCACCTGGAGGAGAAGGGAACACGGACGGCGGCACGCAGGGCGCGGAGGTCCGGTCTGGCGAAGTCGCCGCTCCTGGCGATGGATGGTCGGACGCGATCACACCATCGGAAGGCCTGCCCGCGAAAACTGCACCCCACGCTGGGGGGAGATAGGCAGCATGACTGGTGGTGGTCCCCCAGGCGCGGCTTCTTTGGATGGGCAGGTTCCAGCTGATCCCATCCAACTTATGGGCTCGTCTCCGCCCATGCAGCCGGCGCCCGCAAGCACATGCTCCAGCAACCACACGAGTGTGACCGGTCAAATCGGTGGAGAAGGGTGTTTCCCGCTTGAAACCTCCGGCGCATCGCCATTGATGAGGTCTACATCTGAAAATTTTGTTCAGACGCCTGCCCAGCCCTCTGTAACATCATCCGAGATGTTCACCGCACTGGTGGAGGAAATGACTGAATCTCCTCAAGTAAGACCAGTGCAAGCGTGGTGTGATACGATTTGGCACATTTTGCAGAGGTTTATTACGGAGTGCCAGTGCGATTGGAGGAGCTGCCAGCTGAGAGGAAGCGCTTTACTTCTCTAAATGCAGCCGAAGCGGATCTCCTGCTAAATCTGTTCGAGCAAGCTCACGTTACGCGTCGGGAGAGCCTCTTAGAATGGAAGCAAATGGCTACGGCGATAACCCGCGAACTTCTATCTACGAAGTAGGCATTTAAGGACGTCATCTGACGTTAAACCAGTCAGCATAAATGGTCTCAGTCCTCAGTCCTGAGTCAGTGGGCACAGGTGTTGTGCACAGGAGCAGCATCAACGGGTCCCGACCCACCCCGCGACCGTACCGAAATGCCCCGACATGAGGAGTTCATGTTCGATTCATCTGCTTTCTCGGGGGACGCGATCGACCGTCTACGAGCACTCTGCGGAGCCTCGGGGGCTCGAACTGGCAGTACCAGGTTCGAGAAGGCACGTACGATGAGTGGTCGGTTAGTGGAAGGCATCGTGGCTTGCAGACGTCTGCCGAATTTTGTCAAACAAGTCCTGCGCAGCGAAGAACGGCTGCGCCTGTATAGCACCGTCCAGGCCCAGGTTGAAGGCAAGCTAATCCTGCAATTGGATCGAGACCGTCGAGTCAAAGTGTGCCGAAGAACGTCGAAGGACTTAAGTGCGACCATCTTGGAATCAGCGGAATTAGCGCGGGCTTATCTTACCGCACTCTCCCTCATGCTTAGTCAAACCAAGAAGATCAGCTATGACTTCAACAAGACGATCCACTTTTACTTCTTTACGCGGACAACAGCGAATAGCCACAAAGCAGTCCGGGTGCCTTTCTTCGAAGGAATGTATCGGCTCCAAAAAGCTCACCGACCGGAAAGAGGTTCGGTCTATCAACGGCTTAATGGTCACCTCATGGACGGCGAGTGGGGTATAATGTGCACCTCCATAACCTCACCCGTTTTAGTGATGTGGGCAAAATCGCGGCATTTTTGAAAAAGAATTCCAACAGACTTTGGCATGGACGACATGGACACGCACACACCGGATTCGAGGACGTCTACTATCGGGAGGGATACATTTAAGATCGCTTGGTACCCTACTTTCCTGGATTGCGTTGTCCGTCTTATCTGGTTTAGAACAACTATCATCTTAACCACCCTAATGCAGGGCACAGTTTGCACAGCCTGCAATGTGGTAATCTCGGGCACACCTTAGCTCGATGCAGCTTTACGGATGCGCAGCTGGAGGGCCCTGGAGGAATTGTTGTAACGGAAAGGGATGTACGAGAGCTTGAAGACCTCGCTAAAGCTTTCTCTGTACTCGAGGAACTTCAGGTTATGGCGGCGCAGCGACTCCAGCTTCAGCGGGAGGATGAGTTGGTAGATCCACGCCGTTACGCCATCTGGGCAAATTACAGTGACGGGAGAGCATCCAATTGGCACCACGCCTCCACTAACAAATGCCAGCAGCGCTCCACAGGAGGAGCAAGGCAAAAAAATTGAACATCTTAGGTCTCCACCTAGACCGGACAGTGTAACGGGGTGAATCGTTACATAACAATTTATAAGAAATTGTTAATAGAATATAACTACAAGAGTTATATTCTCAGAATATTGTCATAAGGACAAATATTCTGCAGCACTTACAAGTAGTTCCTAATTGGTTGATATAGGCCATTATATCAACCAACGAAGACGCGCCACGACAGACGCACGCAATGAGTGGTGAGCAGATAACTGATTTACACATTTGTATTCAGACATAGTTAGATGAAGATAAATAGTGATTTATTGCAGACATTAACTATTATAAATACAGTTCTACTTTTTACTCTAACCAAGTACTCGCTTCTTCTTACCGTCTTCCTCTGCACGTACGAGTGTACGTGAAGTTACGAGGCACCGCCTTATTCTGTTATCAGAATAAGTAGCTTGTACTGTCACCAGTACAAGCTTCAGGGTGCCCCGTTACACCTGGTAGCACTTCGTAGTCCGTCCAAGGACCACGTTCACATCCAACATGAATATGTTGGATGATGAAGATGACCAAAGCTTTCACGCTACGCGTGACGGCTACTCCCATTTGAGCGATGTCGAATGGGATGCGGTTGAACGAATGGGTTCGACCATGGGCATCCATGCTGTTAGCGTCATGCTAGAGGCTCTCAATAGAGATGCCCAACATGCTACTATCGCCAAGTTCATTCAAAATGAACTTGACGCAGAACGCGAGAAAGTAGCCTTGCTTCACCAACAAGGTTCTCAACAAGCAGAGTTGTTGAGAGAACAAGGTGCTCAACAGTTTGAACTGTTGAGACAGCAGCAAGCTGCTGCTGGCGGGTCGATGCACTCGCGTCGACCCGAGACTTTGAAGATTGACATCTCAAAGTATAGAGGGGTCGAAGAAGACTCCCTCTTGAGATGGTTCGTCGAATTGGATGACGCCATAAGGGCGCGTCGCATCGACGACGGGGATATGCAAGTTGCATTTGCCCAATCAAATATGGCAGGACGTGCCAAGACTTGGGCACTGGGGCTCAAGCTGCACGACCCATATGCGTTTGGGTCGTTGGAAGTCTTCAAGTCGCGGCTCAGACAAACGTTTGAACCGCCTAGAGCTGAGTTCAGGGCTCGAACCGAACTCTTGAAGCTCAAGCAGGGTAAGCGTGATGTGCACGCTTACGCTCAACACATACGACATCTTACGAGTTGTATAAGTTCCAATCCAGTGGATGAACACACGTTGGTTTCGGTGTTCATGCAGGGTCTTGCGGATGGTCCCGTCAAGACTCACCTGTTCCGGCTTGAACTAGATTCACTAGAACAAGCCATTTCCATTGCGGAGCAGGAAGACTTCAGTCTGAGACAGGCTCGCGCCAGCTCGACATCATATCGTCAACCGAGACGATATGACAACGGAGGTCCAGAGCCGATGGAACTCTGTTATGTAGAGAGCGAGAAGGTTCGCTCTACAGGCTACAAGAAGTTGCAGAGATGCAACAGATGTCAGAAGACAGGACACTACGCTTACGAGTGTAGTGCCCCTCGTCCAGTGTCTCGCGACACTGGGCGTAGTGACCGTCCACCCATGAGAAAGGGACAGGAACGAGGGTCCGCTGTTGGTGCAAAGACGCAACAACGGGATGGACCGTCAAAAAACGGACAAGATCAGTAGGTGCGGAGCACCCGACTGGTCCAGCAACGTCAAGAGAATTTGTAGGCCTCTTGATGAAGGTTGCTCCCAACACACAGACGTTGTGCGTTGCTGCTCTAGGTAATGAAATCTCACTCATTACCTTGAAACTCGAAGTGACGAATAAGTTGTCCCTTCGAGCTCTAGTCGATTGTGGGGCGTCCAACAATTTTGTGCGACGCCAATCGCTAGAAGATGGTCACTTTAAATTCAGTGAATGTGACACACCTCCTACGAGGATGACGGTACGTCTTGCGACAGGCGCATCCGTAACCGTCATGAAGCGTATAGTGAAGATTCACTATACGCTAGAAGATACCCAATACGACGATGACTTTATCGTATTGGATTTGGATGACAAATTTGATGTCATCCTTGGAATACCGTGGCTCAGAAGGTACGAACCACGGGTAAACTGGCAACATCGGACAGTAACGATGCCTGCCGCTTGTTCATCAGATGGCCATCTGATGAACGTTTTGGAGCGTCCACAAGCGTGTGGATGTACTACGAGTGAGTGCGATGGCCTCACTTGTGGTACGGTCGTTAGTACGACTGCACAAAACCTTAGTGTACCAAACGGTTACACTTCGGAGCCAAGTTCCGGCGGCTGTGAGGAAACACAGGCTGCGCCGAAGGTCCACCACTCGAATAAGTCGGGTGGACTGGGACAAAGATGTATCCCTAGAGGGGAACATCTAGAAGAGAAACAATCGATCGCTCAGGTTAAGCGAAACGATAATCCTAGATCGACTGGAGAGTCTTTCGTAGAGGATCTCGCTGTGGTTGCGCAACCCCAGCTAGAGGAAGTAAAGGGAATAAGTCCCAAGATTACAAATACGGCGGAAATAAGTTCCCCGAAACCCGCGGGAATAAGTCCCCGGGAAGACGAAGGAATAAGTCCTTCGAAGCCTGAGGGAATAAGTCCCCAGGAAATGACAGAGACATTGAATGTCATAGTCAATAACGGATCATGTGTAGGCGCTTATACACTTGATCTGATTGCGCCTCCGAAGTTAACTTCGGAGATCACTCAGTTGCCAACGCTCGAACATAAAAGGTTCTTGCGTGATCTGCGTAGTGGCAAAGTCAAGCAGATCTGCATACTCGTCGCTGACGACGAGTATGTAACCGACATAAGGTCAGCAACAGTGTTTACTGAGAACGAGAGAGTTCTCAGTAGTTCATCTATGGACGAGAGTGTCCTAGATGAAAAGACACGAATTGAGCGATATGAGTCCCAATCATGGGAATCGCTCAAGGAAAATCCTCTCTATGAAGATTTGGTTGAATTCAAGGATGTATTCCCTGAAACTGTTCCGTGCGAATTACCGAAGGATAAAGGTATTCGACACGAAGTCGAGCTTAAACCAGGCTCGAAGTACTGTGTCATGAAGCAGTGGCCACTGCCTCGTGAACAAGTACTTGCGATCGACAAGTTCTTTGCCGATCGTTTAGCAGCGGGCCATGTGAGGGAATCAACTTCCCCACATAGCTCTCCGACCTTCTGTGTGCGAAAAGCAACAGGAGGGTGGCGAATAGTGCACGCGTTTAACAAATTGAACGCTGCAACGGTACCGGCTCAGACGCCGATACCGAGGAAGGACGTAATCATTGATGGTATGTCAAAGAGTACCATCTTTTCGTCCATGGATTTGATGGATGGCTTCTATCAAATCCTAATGCGGGAACGGGAGATATACCCTATACCGCAGTTAGCACGCCTAGCGGCATGCTCTGGGAATGGCTAGTAATGCCACAAGGGCTCAGTAATGCCCCTGCCACGTTCAACAGATGTGTATCACATCTGTTGAGGCCAGTACGAGAATTCGCGCCGAGTTATTTCGATGACGTATTCATCCATAGTCGAGCTATGGATGGAAAGTCGGACGTTGAGGTTCACAGGTACCACGTCCGACAGGTTCTTACAATCATGCGAAAGCATCAATTGTATGCAAACCTCAAGAAGTGTATATTTGCAGCAAGCGAAATACCACTTCTTGGGTGCATCGTTGGTAAGAACGGTGTACGTCCTGATCCCGAAAAGATCAAGGCGATCACCGACTGGCCTGTGCCGGTTGATGTCAAAGGTCTTCGAAAATTCCTTGGGCTAGCGGCGTATTTGCATAAGTATTCACGCAATTACGCCGAGATGACTGTGCACCTCTCTCGTTTGTTGAAAAAGAACGAGAGGTGGTTATGGAACGCTGAATGTCAACGCTCCTTTGAGGGTATCAAGCAGAGCTTGATACAATCCCCAGTCCTAGCAATAGCCGATCAGGACAGGCCATTTCATGTGGTCTGTGATGCCAGCGATTTCGCAATCGGCTGTGCATTAATGCAGTACGATCTTGAAGGCGTTGAACGCGTCGTCTGCTATCAGTCGCGTCAGCTGCAACCAGCTGAGCGAAACTATCCAGTGCATGACAAGGAACTCCTTGCCATGAAGTATGCACTCGCGAAGTTCAGAGTCTATCTATTAGGAGATAGACCCTTCATTGTTTACACTGACCATGCGTCAATACGCACGGCAGTGAACAGCCCGCACCTTTCACAACGAATGGCGCGGTGGTTGTCATTCTTTGCAGAATACAACTTTACGGTCGAGTACAAACCAGGACGACTTAATGTCGTCGCTGATGCACTCTCACGTCGTCCCGACTTTGAAACAGTCGCGAAACCCAACAGTGAGACAGTCACTGTTGCGGTTATGGCGTCCTCAGTTCCATCTACAATGTTGTATGATGATGTGAGGCGGGCATACGCCCAAGATGGTGAGATTGTGAAGTTGTTGTCACATCTCTCCCAACCATCCCGAGAATCGTTGAAACGATTGTCGTCTGCGTATCGATCAGCATCAGATCGATACACTACTCGCAACGGTTTACTGTATTATACAGCCGTTTCTGGTGACACACCACGTGTTGTCATTCCAGATGATACTGATCTGCGTTTGCGGATCATGTTCGAGTATCACGATGCTCCTATAGGAGGACATCGTGGCCGAGAGAAAACATATCTCACGGTAAGTCGAGACTTTTACTGGCCCCGCCAGTATCAGTTTGTGCGAAAGTATGTTCGCGCATGCGAAGTCTGCCAACGAGTGAAGTCAAGTCCTTCACTGCGTGCACCTTTACAGCCTCTACCGGTTCCGGCTGAGTGCTGGGAATCCATCTCAATGGATTTCGTCTTCGGGTTACCCAAAGACGCACGCGGGAATACGGGTATTCTCGTATTTGTTGACAGATTCAGCAAAATGGTACACCTTGTGGCTGTACCAGAGACAATCACGGCAAGTGGCTGTGCTTGTGTCTTTATTGACACCATCTTCCGACTTCATGGGTTGCCCCGTGAACTCGTATCAGACAGAGATCCACGATTCACTGCTGATTTCTGGCGTTCCGTGTTCAAATCACTCGGAACGCGCTTGAAGATGTCAACATCTGATCATCCAGAGTCAGATGGTCAGACGGAACGTGCCAACCGTGTCCTCGAAGAGATACTTCGAGGATACGTACACTCCTTCACAAGTTGGAGTGAGTTTTTGCCAATGGTAGAGTTTGCCATCAACAACTCGGTGCATGCGTCCACGACACATACACCGTTTTACGTGAATGGCTTGCGCCATCCGCGTGTACCCACCTTACTAGAGTGTAACTCTGGTTTAAGGGGGGGAGGGACTCGCGCGAGCAAAAACCGATTTGGTTCACGCTCATCACGCTCTGACGAAGAAGTCATTGCGTTTGATGCCGATATCGATAACATCGATATCGAAGAAGATGATGCCAGTGAGAGTGCGGAAGCCCTCACTGAAGACAATGATCCCAGTGAGAGTGCGGAAGCCCTCACTGAAGAAAAGGGTGTTGTTGCTGCAGTGCGCTCACAGCACACTGAAGCTAACGAGTCATCAGATGAGTTCATACTGGCTCGTGAAACGGTAGTCCGTTTTGTGCAAGACTCCATCGCCGAAGCGGTGAATAAGCAAAAGCAAAACGCTGACAAGAATGGAAGGGCAAACACTCTTTTATTTAGTAAAGGTGACTTAGTCCTACTGTCTACGGTTAATCTACCAAAGCATGTAGTGACTAACTTGGGTAGCAGTAAACTACTACCCAAGTACATTGGCCCATTTCGTGTATTGCACCGCCTAGGCAATGCATACACGATCGAGTTACCACGTAAGATGCGAACGCATCCCACGTTTTACGTTGGTCGGCTTAAGCCGTACCATCAGTACGCTGCTTCTTCCGATGAAGAACGCCCTTGCGCTCAAGCATCTCGCAGAGAGCCTTGTGCTCCCGATGGTGGGCATCGACAAGGGTCTGAAGAGCAGTTATCTCAGCCCGAGACCGATCAACAATCCCACGAGCTACCCTTAGCTCGTCACGAAGAGATGTCAGAGATCTCTCGTTCTCAAGCTGAGCAAAGGCAAACTCAGCTCGATGCTTCGAGGCAGTGTCCGCCATTTGGAGACGCCTATTCCGCTCATGCTCGAGATCGTCGCGTAAACCTTGCGTTACGCGATCAAAGAAGCTCTCGGGAACACACCGATCCACATGATCGTGTGGAGAGCGTCTTTCCTCCTCCTCCACCTCCATTAGAGGACTCTCGCGGTGGCCAGCGCTATCTAGTTGAGCAGCTGTTGAACCACCGCGACGTGAACGGACGTCGGACGAGGTAACTCGTCCGGTGGCGCGGCTATCCCCCGTCCTGGGATTCTTGGGAGCCCCGCTCCCAATTGATGGTTGACGTACTGGGTCTGGTCGAGCAGTACGACGCGACACATCCTGTGCCGCAGAAGGACCGCCGGAGAAAGTCTTCCCGGCACGGTCGTAAAGGGATTTCAGGTTGTCAATCCCTTCGTACATCTCAGTAGAGACACGTACGCGCCACCACGGGCTGGTAAGGAGGTAAGCCTCCTTAGGTGCTCGTGCAGAGTTGTTCACACAACATGGGCACGAGTCTCCCCATGAGAGGCAGGGTAATCCTTTCTCCCTTGACAGACGATGCAGCTTGTAGCGTGCACCTGTCGGGGTTCGCTTTTCAAACTTATCACGAGCTTTGATAAGTTTGTCGTTCCAAGCGTCACGACCTACATCCTCGAGATTATGGATGTAGGCGTTCCACGCCTGAAGCAGTGAGGGACCATCACGTTTGTGATTCCCACTGTACCATCGATGTCTGAAGAAAGCATCGATGAAGAACTCATGTTCAGCGCGATAGTCTTTCGCGCTGGGGTCAAGGTGATGAATCCTTGACGAATCGAACAATCGTGTTCGATAACGATCACTCGTCGTCGCCGACAAGTGATCCATGACGGATTTAGGAGGCATCCATGCCTTCTTTTCTGGAGCGAGACGCAACACATTGCGGTCCCGCTCTTCCTGCGACGTGCCGACAGAAGTACTGGCACCTCGCTGCGAAGTGGTGTCCATTGGAGAACCGACACCACTATTAGCGCCCGAGTCTCGCGACCTCGAGCGCCTTCGCTTCGGCGATGGTTCATCTGATTCATCAGATGAACCAAAGATGCTGCGACGCATAGCATCATCCATGCCACGCTTGGCAGGCGGCTTGGATTCGATCGCCATCGATACGGATCCGTCTTCCGTATCAGGAGAGCACGAGACACCGAGTTCATACTCTGTGAAGACATGAGTGTCTTCATGACCAGCGCCTGCGTCACCAAGTGACACAGGCTGGGTCTCTTCAGCAACCGATGGGACATCAGTTGCTGTTGTCTCTGCTTCGGCGTCCGCACAGAGACGTGCAGACGCGCTCTCGGCGGCCTTGCTCGCGCATCGCATGGGCTTGTTTACCATGCGATGAGATGTTGGAAAGTGGACGCGAACCAACAAGTGCAAACCCCGTCCCAAATGATTTGGGACGAGTATCCATTTAGTCAATCAGTCACTAAAGTGACTGATGGTTAAGGGGGGGGTGATGTAACGGGGTGAATCGTTACATAACAATTTATAAGAAATTGTTAATAAAATATAACTACAAGAGTTCTATTCTCAGAATATTGTCATAAGGACAAATATTCTGTAGCACTTCCAAGTAGTTCCTAATTGGTTGATATAGGCCATTATATCAACCAACGAAGACGCGCCACGACAGACGCACGCAATGAGTGGTGAGCAGATAACTGATTTACACATTTGTATTTAGACATAGTTAGATGAAGATGAATAGTGATTTATTGCAGACATTAACTATGGTAAATACAGTTCTACTTTTTACTTTAACCAAGTACTCGCTTCTTCTTACCGTCTTCCTCTGCACGTACGAGTGTACGTGAAGTTACGAGGCACCGCCTTATTCTGTTATCAGAATAAGTAGCTTGTACTGTCACCAGTACAAGCTTCAGGGTGCCCCGTTACAGACAGGCAGCAACCTTGGCTCTCTATACCTTCAAAGGGGCGCTTTAAAGGCCCGAGCGGTCGTGCGTCTTCGGGTGGAACACACTTGAAGTGGGGCACATACGCTGTCCTGGGGGAGGACGAAGACGAGGAGAACGGGGCTTCTCGCGACCCGATGACACCCGAAGTCTTTGGATCGAGTTCCACAACTGTGTACTTGACTACGTCAGGGGAAGCCTATGGTAAGGGCCCAGTCCGATCTTTATCTCTCACATCAGCGGACCTAATCCGGAAAACGGTCGGTCAACAGAGGGGTACGACTCCAGTATCGACTGTACCTGTTCTACTGACCTGAAGCGTCACGAACGAACAGATCTGCGCAAGCAAATCGCACGTACGCAAGATTAGTTTGCAACGGCCCTACCGATGTTCGATCGATCAACGCCAATGCCGGCTGATCTGGAAGATAAGGAGTGCCAACTCGGCGTGAGGTCTGTTTTCACGCCGGCGACAGGGAAATCCCTTGCCATGGCGATAGCTCAGGCGGTTGCGAATTCTAATCTGGTAGCATCGGAACGGGCACTGGACATGGTAACAGCCAGTGTTGAACGTGGTATCAAGTATGCAGGGCTGTTAGCGCTCGAAGGACAGCTAGCCCACGATCGAAGGGTTCATCTTTAAAGAACGTAGGCCGATGGTTGTCAGGGATGTCTCGCACTGAGTCGGCCTCTCAAATACAGTGGTATTTGGAATTTTATGCGTCCGGTTCGTCGGTGCGGACGGGTATAGTACCCTCGGACACATGGGGACAAGTGACTCAGCAGGTATGGCTGCCAAGTTTCTGCAACAACTCATATATGTCATCCAGCGCGTTAATGACCAGTCACAGAGCTGAAGGGGCGTGAAGTATGTCCCAGTTAATGTTTCCAGGTACAGTCGCGTGACAGATACAGCGGTAGAACATCTGCTATCAACTTTAGCGCTTATCGACGATGTGGTCGCTGCCAAGATTTGTCACCGGATCACCCCCACTCATCCTACAATACGAGGAGCGCTATAATTCAGCGTCTCTTCACTCAGGCCGCACCATCCGGCTCCCTAAATATGAGGTGGAGATGGACCTTGTCGAGTCTGCAGCGCTAGATGACACAGAGCACTCCACATGCACACCGATCGCGCCGACGAGGATGACGTACGCCATGAAGCAGGCTGCACCTTTGGACGTCGCCGTCATACTCTGTTCAGATCCACTATCAACCGGAACGGTTCGCGTTTTGCCAACTAAGACAAATGCACAGACCTTTGCCAGGAGCTCGCGGTCGTTGAGCGCAGGCTGGTGCTTCCGGAACTCCCACTCACGCCTCGCATGGACCACGTTCAGCCCCACCGCCAGATCGTAAACGGGGGATAATCACATCACCAGAAAAATACCAATCAACGGGGGAGATTGTGCCGTACCAGCCCGAAGCGACGGTCCATAAAAAAGTTTGCGTAGGAATCGCACATCTGCGGATGATTACCGATGACGTAGACTACGACGGCATCGATCGAAAGGACCGGGCCTCGGCGTGGGAACTGTTGGAATCGCACTTTGGCAAACCCCATGTAAATCCGTTTCCCACGACCTAAAGCTCCACGACACGGAGTGACAACACGCTGCTCGAAACGCTCCGGACCATTTACTATGGCTGGTAGAAAGATTCATGCTACCGGGGGAATGTCTCCAAATTTTAGACGTGTCCGTCATTGTTCTATGGATGGCAGAGATTTGGCGGGTGTGTGTCGAGGCCTCGTTGCGGCACCATCGCGCGACACCACTAGATAGTTTAACGCAAGCCTGGGTCAATCGCTGGCTCGAAATGCGCGGCATCAGGGGCTATCGTCTTAGCGCCGCTAATGGAAAGCTCGGAGGATTGGTACAAACTGGAAGCTAACAGTTATGCTGGTGACAATCTGCTTAATCTATGTGATCCTCGACGTCGAGTACGGTTAAGTCACCACGTGCTATGTGCACTTCTATACGACCATGAAATTGCAGCTCTAGTCGATGGAGTGCCATCCAGTCCAGGGGTGCAGGACAAAATACGAGCTCATATGCGGCTTATCTTCTCCAACACCAGGTTTAAGAAAGCCTACTACACATCCACACAATTGGCGGATTGGGAAGCGATTGAGAGATTTTTCTACACCGGTCTTGCACGTCCACAGGAGGACGATGAACTTCAATTCTGAGAGCACTTCACGGGAATCTTTCACGTCAAGGGACTACAGGGCGGAGTATCAGAGTGCTGATGCTTATGGGCGTCACACTTTATTACATCGCTTCGAATCGGAAAACCATGCAATCGCTCACGAAAGCGACAGACAGATCGGAGGCTACTGACTCAAAATGTGCGTGGTTTCTCGAAGGAGACACGAAATCAGTGGATGACCGCCTAGCGCCAAACACCGGCGAGTAGACGCCCGCTGGCATGGTGCATACAGGAAACACACGTGGCCACCGAGGATGATGCGGATGTTCTACGTCTGGAATGGCGACGGATGTGGGGAAACAGCTCGACCCAAAACAAGCGCAAATGTCCTCTTGAAGTATTGGTTCATCGAAGGCTCGAGGGGTCGGAATTTTCATTTTCTTTACCGCGGCGTCTGGTGCACAGGTGTGGAATGAGAATTAATGGACTTCACGGGCAGTGGGGGTTCGAGTTCACGACATTTTACTGCTTAATGTCTACGCGCCAAACATACGGGCGGAGCGCGAAGAATCGATTCAGTGGATCTACGGCTGAGACATGCCGTCCAGGAGTACTATCCTGCTGGGAGATTTTAACTGTGTTCAAATTCCGCAGCTGGATAAGTTGGGGATACGGTCCGCTAGCCGTCCGGAGAGTCCGGCACTTAGCTCACTGTTGAAAGGGGCAGCCTTGAGTGAGGCACGACTTCTCCAAGACCATGCCGACGCTAATGAGTTTGATACAAGCCATCATTTTACGTACTGGACGATCGAGACGGCTAGCAGGATTGACTGATTCTATGTTCCTCAATACTGGGCTCCTGGTGTCCTCTGGGTATCAACGGCGCCACCACCTACCTACTCAGATCACGAGCAAGTGGTACGTCATCTCCGAAGTAAGCAATCATTACGGCGGCTACAGCAGCGGCGGCACATTATCTATCCTATCAGGTCGAACAGGCCAGACCGAGTTGTGACAGCCGTCATCTAAGAAATGACAAACGTGGGAGTGGGCCTTGAGTTCACTACCCAGTCCTGAGATATCCACATTGCAGAGAGCTGTCACTGCATTACGGTTGTGTGGAAACGGGAAAAGAAGCGGAGACAGCGCTACGTGTCTACACTACGGAAGCGCAAACGACAACCATTTCTCACCAGACGGCACTGGATATCAGCCAATATCAAAGAGATGCGGGAGGACCACCTTGCTCGTCTAAGCGAGACTTTGGAGAGGTCGACGGAGCATCTACGGTGCACCTACCACCGAATTGGAAACTGAGAACGAGATCAACACGTCACTTCCCTGCAGCCACGTCACAGGCCGGTATTTCCGAGTTCACTGGCGATCGCTGATAAGTTTGCGTCTGAATGGGCGCCTGTGCTCAGCAAGAGTAATTAAACCGCTCCACTGCCTCTATTAGCGTCTGAGCTGCGGGCATTTGCGTCCGTGCCGCCGGTGTAACGGGGCACCCTGAAGCTTGTACTGGTGACAGTACAAGCTACTTATTCTGATGACAGAATAAGGCGGTGCCTCGTAACTTCACGTACACTCGTACGTGCAGAGGAAGACGGTAAGAAGAAGCGAGTACCTAGTTTAAGTAAAAAGTAGAACTGTATTTACCATAGTTAATGTCTGCAATAAATCACTATTCATCTTCATCTAACTATGTCTAAATACAAATGTGTAAATCAACTATCTGCTCACCACTCATTGCGTGCGTCTGTCGTGGCGCGTCTTCGTTGGTTGATATAATGGCCTATATCAACCAATTAGGAACTACTTGTAAGTGCTGCAGAATATTTGTCCTTATGACAATATTCTGAGAATAGAACTCTTGTAGTTATATTTTATTAACAATTTCTTATAAATTGTTATGTAACGATTCACCCCGTTACATCACCCCCCCCTTAACCATCAGTCACTTTAGTGACTGATTAACTAAATGGATACTCGTCCCAAATTATTTGGGACAGGGTTTGCACTTGTTGGTCCGCGTCCACTTTCCAACATCTCATCGCATGTTTAACAAGCCCATGCGATGCGCGAGCAAGGCCGCCGAGAGCGCGTCTGCACGTCTCTGTGCGGACGCCGAAGCAGAAACAACAGCAACTGATGTCCCATCGGTTGCTGAAGCGACTCAGCCTGTGTCACTTGGTGATGCAGGCGCTGGTCATGAAGACACTCATGTCTTCACAGAGTACGAGCTCGGTGTCTCGTACTCTCCTGATACGGATGACGGATCCGTATCGATGGCGATCGAATCCAAGCCGCCTGCCAAGCGTGGCATGGATGATGCTATGCGTCGCAGCATCTTTGGTTCATCTGATGAATCAGATGAACCATCGCCGAAGCGAAGGCGCTCGAGGTCGCGAGACTCGGGCGCTAATAGTGGTGTCGGTTCTCCAATGGACACCACTTCACAGCGAGGTGCCAGTACTTCTGTCGGCACGTCGCAGGAAGAGCGGGACCGCAATGTGTTGCGTCTCGCTCCAGAAAAGAAGGCATGGATGCCTCCTAAATCCGTCATGGATCACTTGTCGGCGACGACGAGTGATCGTTATCGAACACGATTGTTCGATTCGTCAAGGATTCTATCACCTTGACCCCAGCGCGAAAAACTATCGCGCTGAACACGAAAGCTCTTCATCGATGCTTTCTTCAGACATCGATGGTACAGTGGGAACCACAAGCGTGATGGTCCCTCACTGCTTCAAGCGTGGAACGCCTACATCCATAATCTCGAGGATGTAGGTCGTGACGCTTGGAACGACAAACTTATCAAAGCTCGTGATAAGTTTGAAAAGCGAACCCCGACAGGTGCACGCTACAAGCTGCATCGTCTGTCAAGGGAGAAAGGATTACCCTGCCTCTCTTGGGGAGACTCGTGCCCATGTTGTGTGAACAACTCTGCGCGAGCACCTAAGGAGGCTTACCTCCTTACCAGCCCGTGGTGGCGCGTACGTGTCTCTACTGAGATGTACGAAGGGATTGACAACCTGAAATCCCTTTACGACCGTGCCGGGAAGACTTTCTCCGGCGGTCCTTCTGCGGCACAGGATGTGCCGCGTCGTACTGCTCAACCAGACCCAGTACGTCGATCATCAGTTGGGAGCGGGGCTCCCAAGAATCCCAGGACGGGGGATAGCCGCGCCACCGGACGAGATAACTCGTCCGACGTCCGTTCACGTCGCGGTGGTTCAACAGCTGCTCAACTAGATAGCGCTGGCCACCGCGAGAGTCCTCTAATGGAGGTGGAGGAGGAGGAAAGACGCTCTCCACACGATCATGTGGATCGGTGTGTTTCCGAGAGCTTCTTTGATCGCGTAACGCAAGGTTTACGCGACGATCTCGAGCATGAGCGGAATAGGCGTCTCCAAATGGCGGACACTGCCTCGAAGCATCGAGCTGAGTTTGCCTTTGCTCAGCTCGAGAACGAGAGATCTCTGACATCTCTTCGTGACGAGCTAAGGGTAGCTCGTGGGATTGTTGATCGGTCTCGGGCTGAGATAACTGCTCTTCAGACCCTTGTCGATGCCCATCATCGGGAGCACAAGGCTCTCTGCGAGATGCTTGAGCGCAAGGGCGTTCTTCATCGGAAGAAGCAGCGTACTGATGGTACGGCTTAAGCCGACCAACGTAAAACGTGGGATGCGTTCGCATCTTACGTGGTAACTCGATCGTGTATGCATTGCCTAGGCGGTGCAATACACGAAATGGGCCAATGTACTTGGGTAGTAGTTTACTGCTACCCAAGTTAGTCACTACATGCTTTGGTAGATTAACCGTAGACAGTAGGACTAAGTCACCTTTACTAAATAAAAGAGTGTTTGCCCTTCCATTCTTGTCAGCGTTTTGCTTTTGCTTATCCACCGCTTCGGCGATGGAGTCTTGCACAAAACGGACTACCGTTTCACGAGCCAGTATGAACTCATCTGATGACTCGTTAGCTTCAGTGTGCTGTGAGCGCACTGCAGCAACAACACCCTTTTCTTCAGTGAGGGCTTCCGCACTCTCACTGGGATCATTGTCTTCAGTGAGGGCTCCCGCACTCTCACTGGCATCATCTTCTTCGATATCGATGTTATCGATATCGGCATCAAACGCAATGACTTCTTCGTCAGAGCGTGATGAGCGTGAACCAAATCGGTTTTTGCTCGCGCGAGTCCCTCCCCCCCTTAAACCAGAGTTACACTCTAGTAAGGTGGGTACACGCGGATGGCGCAAGCCATTCACGTAAAACGGTGTATGTGTCGTGGACGCATGCACCGAGTTGTTGATGGCAAACTCTACTATAGGCAAAAACTCACTCCAACTCTTAAAGGAGTGTACGTATCCTCGAAGTATCTCTTCAAGGACACGATTGGCACGTTCCGTCTGACCATCTGACTCTGGATGATCAGATGTTGACATCTTCAAGCGCGTTCCGAGTGATTTGAACACGGAACGCCAGAAATCAGCTGTGAATCGTGGATCTCTGTCTGATACGAGTTTACGGGGCAACCCATGAAGTCGGAAGATGGTGTCAATAAAGACACAAGCACAGCCACTTGCCGTGATTGTCTCTGGTACAGCCACAAGGTGTACCATTTTGCTGAATCTGTCAACAAATACGAGAATACCCGTATTCCCGCGTGCGTCTTTGGGTAACCCGAAGACGAAATCCATTGAGATGGATTCCCAGCACTCAGCCGGAACCGGTAGAGGCTGTAAAGGTGCACGCAGTGAAGGACTTGACTTCACTCGTTGGCAGACTTCGCATGCGCGAACATACTTTCGCACAAACTGATACTGGCGGGGCCAGTAAAAGTCTCGACTTACCGTGAGATATGTTTTCTCTCGGCCACGATGTCCTCCTATAGGAGCATCGTGATACTCGAACATGATCCGCAAACGCAGATCAGTATCATCTGGAATGACAACACGTGGTGTGTCACCAGAAACGGCTGTATAATACAGTAAACCGTTGCGAGTAGTGTATCGATCTGATGCAGATCGATACGCAGGCGACAATCGTTTCAACGATTCTCGAGATGGTTGGGAGAGATGTGACAACAACTTCACAATCTCACCATCTTGGGCGTATGCCCGCCTCACATCATCATACAACGTTGTAGATGGGACTGAGGACGTCATAACCGCAACAGTGACTGTCTCACTGTTGGGTTTCACGACTGGTTCAAAGTCGGGACGACGTGAGAGTGCATCAGCGACGACATTAAGTCGTCCTGGTTTGTACTCAACCGTAAAGTTGTATTCCGCAAAGAATGACAACCACCGCGCCATTCGTTGTGAAAGGTGCGGGCTGTTCACTGCCGTGCGTATTGACGCATGGTCAGTGTAAACAATGAAGGGTCTATCTCCTAATAGATAGACTCTGAACTTCGCGAGTGCATACTTCATGGCAAGGAGTTCCTTGTCATGCACTGGATAGTTTCGCTCAGCTGGTTGCAGCTGACGCGACTGATAGCAGACGACGCGTTCAACGCCTTCAAGATCGTACTGCATTAATGCACAGCCGATTGCGAAATCGCTGGCATCACAGACCACATGAAATGGCCTGTCCTGATCGGCTATTGCTAGGACTGGGGATTGTATCAAGCTCTGATTGATACCCTCAAAGGAGCGTTGACATTCAGCGTTCCATAACCACCTCTCGTTCTTTTTCAACAAACGAGAGAGGTGCACAGTCATCTCGGCGTAATTGCGTGAATACTTATGCAAATACGCCGCTAGCCCAAGGAATTTTCGAAGACCTTTGACATCAACCGGCACAGGCCAGTCGGTGATCGCCTTGATCTTTTCGGGATCAGGAAGTACACCGTTCTTACCAACGATGCACCCAAGAAGTGGTATTTCGCTTGCTGCAAATATACACTTCTTGAGGTTAGCATACAATTGATGCTTTCGCATGATTGTAAGAACCTGTCGGACGTGGTACCTGTGAACCTCAACGTCCGACTTTCCATCCATAGCTCGACTATGGATGAATACGTCATCGAAATAACTCGGCGCGAATTCTCGTACTGGTCTCAACAGATGTGATACACATCTGTTGAACGTGGCAGGGGCATTACTAAGCCCTTGTGGCATTACTAGCCATTCCCAGAGCATGCCGCTAGGCGTGCTAACTGCGGTATAGGGTATATCCCGTTCTCGCATAAGGATTTGATAGAAGCCATCCATCAAATCCATGGACGAAAAGATGGTACTCTTTAACATACAATCAATGATTGCGTACTTCCTTGGTATCGGCGTCTGAGCCGGTACCGTTGCAGCATTCAACTTGTCAAGTGCATGCACTATTCGCCACCCTCCTGTAGCTTTTCGCACGCAGAAGGTCGGAGAGCTATGTGGGGAAGTTGATTCCCTCACATGGCCCGCAGCTAAACGATCGGCAAAGAACTTGTCGATCGCAAGTACTTGTTCACGAGGCAGTGGCCACTGCTTCATGACACAGTACTTCGAGCCTGGTTTAAGCTCGACTTCGTGTCGAATACCTTTATCCTTCGGTAATTCGCACGGAACAGTTTCAGGGAATACATCCTTGAATTCAACCAAATCTTCATAGAGAGGATTTTCCTTGAGCGATTCCCATGATTGGGACTCATATCGCTCAATTCGTGTCTTTTCATCTAGGACACTCTCGTCCATAGATGAACTACTGAGAACTCTCTCGTTCTCAGTAAACACTGTTGCTGACCTTATGTCGGTTACATACTCGTCTTCAGCGACGAGTATGCAGATCTGCTTGACTTTGCCACTACGCAGATCACGCAAGAATCTTTTATGTTCGAGCGTTGGCAACTGAGTGATCTCCGAAGTTAACTTCGGAGGCGCAATCAGATCAAGTGTATAAGCGCCTACACATGATCCGTTATTGACTATGACATTCAATGTCTCTGTCATTTCCTGGGGACTTATTCCCTCAGGCTTCGAAGGACTTATTCCTTCGTCTTCCCGGGGACTTATTCCCGCGGGTTTTGGGGAACTTATTTCCGCCGTATTTGTAATCTTGGGACTTATTCCCTTTACTTCCTCTAGCTGGGGTTGCGCAACCACAGCGAGATCCTCTACGAAAGACTCTCCAGTCGATCTAGGATTATCGTTTCGCTTAACCTGAGCGATCGATTGTTTCTCTTCTAGATGTTCCCCTCTAGGGATACATCTTTGTCCCAGTCCACCCGACTTATTCGAGTGGTGGACCTTCGGCGCAGCCTGTGTTTCCCTCACAGCCGCCGGAACTTTGCTCCGAAGTGTAACCGTTTGGTACACTAAGGTTTTGTGCAGTCGTACTAACGACCGTACCACAAGTGAGGCCATCGCACTCACTCGTAGTACATCCACACGCTTGTGGACGCTCCAAAAACGTTCATCAGATGGCCATCTGATGAACAAGCGGCAGGCATCGTTACTGTCCGATGTTGCCAGTTTACCCGTGGTTCGTACCTTCTGAGCCACGGTATTCCAAGGATGACATCAAATTTGTCATCCAAATCCAATACGATAAAGTCATCGTCGTATTGGGTATCTTCTAGCGTATAGTGAATCTTCACTATACGCTTCATGACGGTTACGGATGCGCCTGTCGCAAGACGTACCGTCATCCTCGTAGGAGGTGTGTCACATTCACTGAATTTAAAGTGACCATCTTCTAGCGATTGGCGTCGCACAAAATTGTTGGACGCCCCACAATCCACTAGAGCTCGAAGGGACAACTATTCGTCACTTCGAGTTTCAAGGTAATGAGTGAGATTTCATTACCTAGAGCAGCAACACACAACGTTTGTGTGTTGGGAGCAACCTTCATCAAGAGGCCTACAAATTCTCTTGACGTTGCTGGACCAGTCGGGTGCTCCGCACCTACTGATCTTGTCCGTTTTTTGACGGTCCATCCCGTTGTTGCGTCTTTGCACCAACAGCGGACCCTCGTTCCTGTCCCTTTCTCATGGGTGGACGGTCACTACGCCCAGTGTCGCGAGACACTGGACGAGGGGCACTACACTCGTAAGCGTAGTGTCCTGTCTTTTGACATCTGTTGCATCTCTGCAACTTCTTGTAGCCTGTAGAGCGAGCCTTCTCGCTCTCTACATAACAGAGTTCCATCGGCTCTGGACCTCCGTTGTCATATCGTCTCGGTTGACGATATGATGTCGAGCTGGCGCGAGCCTGTCTCAGACTGAAGTCTTCCTGCTCCGCAATGGAAATGGCTTGTTCTAGTGAATCTAGTTCAAGCCGGAACAGGTGAGTCTTGACGGGACCATCCGCAAGACCCTGCATGAACACCGAAACCAACGTGTGTTCATCCACCGGATTGGAGCTTATACAACTCGTAAGATGTCGTATATGTTGGGCGTAAGCGTGCACATCACGCTTACCCTGCTTGAGCTTCAAGAGTTCGGTTCGAGCCCTGAACTCAGCTCTAGGCGGTTCAAACGTTTGTCTGAGCCGCGACTTGAAGACTTCCAACGACCCAAACGCGTATGGGTCGTGCAGCTTGAGCCCCAGTGCCCAAGTCTTGGCACGTCCTGCCAGATTTGACTGGGCAAATGCAACTTGCATATCCCCGTCGTCGATGCGACGCGCCCTTATGGCGTCATCCAATTCGACGAACCATCTCAAGAGGGAGTCTTCTTCGACCCACCTATACTTTGAGATGTCAATCTTCAAAGTCTCGGGCCGACGCGAGTGCATCGACCCGCCAGCAGCAGCCTGCTGCTGTCTCAACAGTTCAAACTGTTGAGCACCTTGTTCTCTCAACAACTCTGCTTGTTGAGAACCTTGTTGGTGAAGCAAGGCTACTTTCTCGCGTTCAGCGTCAAGTTCATTTTGAATGAACTTGGCGATAGTAGCATGTTGGGCATCTCTATTGAGAGCCTCTAGCATGACGCTAACAGCATGGATGCCCATGGTCGAACCCATTCGTTCAACCGCATCCCATTCGACATCGCTCAAATGGGAGTAGCCGTCACGCGTAGCGTGAAAGCTTTGGTCATCTTCATCATCCAACATATTCATGTTGGATGTGAACGCGGTCCTTGGACGGACTACGAAGTGCTACCAGGTGTAACGGGGCACCCTGAAGCTTGTACTGGTGACAGTACAAGCTACTTATTTTGATGACAGAATAAGGCGGTGCCTCGTAACTTCACGTACACTCGTACGTGCAGAGGAAGACGGTAAGAAGAAGCGAGTACTTGGTTAGAGTAAAAGTAGAACTGTATTTATAATAGTTAATGTCTGCAATAAATCACTATTTATCTTCATCTAACTATGTCTAAATACAAATGTGTAAATCAGTTATCTGCTCACCACTCATTGCGTGCGTCTGTCGTGGCGCGTCTTCGTTGGTTGATATAATGGCCTATATCAACCAATTAGGAACTACTTGTAAGTGCTGCAGAATATTTGTCCTTATGACAATATTCTGAGAATATAACTCTTGTAGTTATATTCTATTAACAATTTCTTATAAATTGTTATGTAACGATTCATCCCGTTACAGCCGGGGAAGAGACTCACGGCAGACGATAATGAGCGGCTGTTACGTCCCTTTACGGATGCCGAGGTGCTTTCAGCTATCGTCCGGCTCAATAGCCGTAAATCTGCCGGCCCCGATGGGTTTAATAATAATTTTTACAAGGATACGGTGGGGCTTGTGATCCCTGCTCTCGTCATTATCAGCAATCAAATACTTGCGGGGTCCGAGTTGCCTGCTTTCTTCCCGGAATCCCTTATCATCCTTCTGATAAAAATGGTGACTCCGACGACGCAATGGATTATAGACCGATTGCCTTGCTACTAAATAGCTACAAAGTCTTTGCGAAGGTGCTGGACACCCGATTACAACTCTCGTTCCCCGAGCCATTAGCGAATCGCAGCAAAAAAAAACTATGGGCGCCAAATGTCGAAACCCGTCACGATATTTTTGGCTTAGCTTTCGACAGCAGTACGGCAGGTTGACACGCCAGCCGAACAGATCCGATGTATCTTGCTCTTGGACTTTCGAAAGGCGTACGATACAGTGGATCGCGATTTTCGGTACGAATCTTTACGCCTATTTGGATTTGACGAACGGTTTGTTGATCTCATGCGGCGCATCTATTCTGTCACATCCACAGACTTTGAGGTGAACGGATGCTAGTCCCAGGCACTTCCGTTAAGCTCCGGAATAAGGCAGGGATTTCCGCTCGCGCCGATCTTATTTTTGCTGGTGGTGGAGGTGCTCAGTCTCGCTTTACAGCAGGAAACAATACTAAAAGGGTTGGAAGCGCCTGGACTGTCTGGACACACGCACCTTTTCTCAGCGTTCGTAGACGACTCCACGCTATTTCTCGTGAATACTGGGCAAATCCCGCACGCCCTAAGCATTGTCAATGTTTTTTGCGCACTGTCCGGCTTGCAGGTACAACCGTCTAAAAGCAAGCTCATTTTTCTCAACAAGGCAATCATTGCCGAGCGTTACGAGGGGATCGAAGTCGTGCCCCATGGGGCATTTCCAGGGTTTTGGGATAAGAAATTGGTACCGGAGAGTTAAAGAACAAGCATTGGGCCCGTCGGATTCTAAGGATTCAACGACGTCTCTTAACGGCAACTCGTGTCGCGATCAGTGTGGTGAACAGAGTTCTTATATCAAACAACATCGTCCTTCCTGCCGTGCTGTTAACAGTGAGCGTTTTCGACATCCCGCTGGGGGCTGAAAAGGAGGTGCACAATCTCTACAAGCAATTTTGGCGGGAACACGCTATTTCTCCGGACGCACGGCGACATAAAGTTATCCCGGGGCTATTGGTAACACCTCGGAACGCAGGGAATATTGAGCTGGCTAATGTGTCGGTCGCGATAAAAACAAAGGGACAAGCATGCCATTCTTTGGCTTACCCAACGATCGGACAAGTACTTCGAAGCCTGGTGCATCTGGGCCGTTCTCATGTTGCCCCAGGATTCTGTCGGCCAGGTGACTCCAGTTGCGGCGCTGCACTGGTCGGCTCCTAGGCGTCGCTCTCTTTTTGGGGTGGAGTTACGGAGATCTCTGGGGGAGCGGTTGGCACCAACTACAGATCAGCACCTTCGACTGAGTGAGTGGGTTGCACCACAGTCCACCGATTTGTCGAATGGGGCGGCTAGCTGGTGGGACGAAGACGAGTTCGTCTTATCCCATCCCACCCCGGTTCCCACTCGACTGATGGTGTAATGGGGCAACCCATTATATTAAGTAGTCATAGTTTTATTACATAATTACATACATTAAGTGTAGGCAGTATCCGGATAGCGGATACTGCGCGTCTATTTATTACTGGTTTATTATTGGGGTGCCAGACCCAATAATTAGCCAATAATAATTAGTTCTGTATTTGAGTGGTTCCCATGAGCTAGGGAACATATTCGCACTTACTGCGAATTATAAAAACACAAAAATACAAACAGAGTTAAATTTACCTTATAAATCACAGCGCTTCCTCAGCTTAATTATTAGTGTAAGACGGTAACGGGCTCTCACCCCGTTACACCTGGTAGCACTTCGTAGTCCTTCCCATGACCAAGTTCGAGATGGATATGAGTGAATCTTCGATGGCTCCAGCAGTTTCGCTGGAGCATGCAGATTTTCCCCATCTCACTACGGTAGAATGGCAGGCATTACACCGCCTCGCGGCGGTGTCTGGTGAAATCTTCGTGACGTCGCTGCTGAGCACAGCGACGCCCGAACAACACCGTGCCGCCATTCAAGACTACATGGTGCGCGAACTCGCCGAAGCGAACCGGCGAGTACATACTCCCTCGCGCCCCTCCCATTACGATGCAATTAAATGGAGATGTCGACATACTCTGGTGATGGTCCAGATCGTCTCCCCCTTAATCGCTGGTTTAGGGAGATTGATATCGCCATAGCGTCAAGGTTGATTGACGCTCCGACGGCCAAGGTTAATTTCCTACTGTCTCGGCTTGTTGGTAAAGCCAAAGAATGGGCTCTTGGGAAGCTCGTTGTAAACGAGTTGGCATTCCCCACGCTGGACGATATCCAGCGCGACTTACGACTGGCGTTCGAGCCCCCTCAAGATGAGTCACGCTTGCGCGCAGATTTCTTTTCACTTCGACAGGGCAAGCTGTCGATGCGTGATTACGTACAGAAGACGCGACATCTTTCTTCGTGTATCATCACGAAGCCGGTCGACATGGCGTCTCAAGTTCATGTCTTTGTCTTTGGTATGCAAGAGGGCATGACCCGCTATTGCCTCACACGTGCTGAACCTAAGACTCTTGAGGAGGCATTTGCCCTCGCGCTTCGTGAAGATTACACGGTCGCATCGTCATATTTGCAGGCAGCGTCGCAACGCCCGCGTACGTCTGGCCCAGAGCCTATGGAAATTGACGTTATCGATGCATCTCGTGGTCGCGGCAAGCAATTTGGCCGCGACATTCGAAGTCAAAACACGATGAAGTGTTATCGGTGCGGCAAGATTGGCCATCGTGCGGCCGTCTGCCGAGCACCAGCGCCGGTGTCCATGAACACAGCTGTCTCACGTGGAGATACTGTGTCGTCAGTGGTCCCGCCAAAAAAACGAGCGGTTCCAGTAGGCGCGGGGCGCTCTACTGGCATGAGGGAGCCCCGAGTATTTAAGTGGCAGCTCGGACTCCCAGACCCCAAGTGATCCATACTCACCTCCATGCCACCACCACGCGCGACGATTCAAGACTGATCATCATCAGTCTCGTCATCGCTGGAGTAAACGATCACTCCGAGCGTTGTTGGATTCGGGTGCATCCAAAACTTCTTTTCGAGCATCATGTTTGTCCCTTCTCCCGTCGACAGTTACGGTTCGAGAAGGTCCAGGTGACATCGTTGTCAAACTTGCTGATGGACAACCACAGCGTGTCCCGCGTAAAACAGTGGTTTTGCCGTACACGTTCGACGGCTTCCAAAGTAATGACGAATTTTTGGTGTACGAGATGAATTATGCATTCGATTGCATCGTGGGGATACCGTGGCTGTCACGGTATCAGCCGACGATAGATTGGCTATCTCGGTCCGTCAAACGACGAAGCGGTTACGACGTAAGTGAAGTTTTCACTCATCTGTTGGTAGCGCCATCCGATTGGCCTCACGTCAGGTTCGTGAACGAACTCGCCACGACTAGAAGTCAGCACAGAGAGAGCGATGGCCCTCTGTGTCCGGTATGTTCAGTCACACTGATAGAACCACAACACGAGGCGGTCGAACAGAGGTTCCCGCAAACCCAGACATCGGTCGAGCAGGGGCTCCCGATTCACAACGAGACGGTCGAACAGAGGTTCCCGCAAACACAGACATCGGTCGAGCAGGGGCTCCCGATTCACAACGAGGCGGTCGAACAGGGGTTCCCGCACACACGGACATCGGTCGAGCAGGGGCTCCCGATTCACAACGAGGCGTTCGAACAGGGGTTCCCGCACACACGGACTTCGGTCGAGCAGGGGTTCCCGAGTTCTAGCGAGGCGGTCGAGCAGGGGCTCCCGCATACACACACAACGGCCGAGCAGAGGCTCCCGATTGCAACCGAGGTGGTCGAGCAGAGGCTCCCACATACATCTGAGGCGGTCGACGACGAGCTCCCGCCTCTTATCGACGAGAATGAACGGGCTGTGGACTTAAATGTGAACGACGTGGTGGAGACAGAGCTCCCACGTCTAGCGGGGGGTACTTCATCCTCCAGCGACAGCGACGTTCCAGCCTCGAGCAGTGGCTCAAGACGCAAGAGAAAGCGTAAACGCAAGAAAGGTGCACGCCGATCACCAACACGACGAAATTCTCGCTCAAGCGCCGTTGACGATGATACTGTATTGACGGAATCCGTTTGTGCGCTTGAATATGTGGAAGGGTCTTCACATCGTGGCCGCTACGTTGAGGTAGCGAGCCCTCCGTGCACTGTTGCAGAGATCACATCTCTATTAACCCTACCATGGAAAGATTTTCTTCACGACCTCAAGGCCGGCGGCATCGAGCAAGTGTGCATCATATCAGACGCCGAAGCAGCTAGTGGAGAAGTTCTGGAGGCTCGCCCAAAGAGCGCTGAGCCCAAATCAGCGCGCGAAGAACGTTTCGTGGCACAGTCTTGGGAAGCCCTTCGTGCTTCGGGCAACCCTGTCTATGATATCGCGCGTGAGTATGCCAACATTTTTCCGGAGAATATCCCCGCTGAGCTTCCAGCGAATCGTGGTGTGCGACACGAGATCGATCTCGTGCCAGGATCGAAGTATTGCGTGACGCGGCAGTGGCCGCTACCGCGTGACCAAGTCATCGCAATTGATGAATTTTTTGAGGGCCGCCGTAAGGCAGGACACGTCCGCAAAAGCATATCGCCACATTCGAGTCCGACTTTCTGTGTGAAGAAAGCCACCGGCGGTTGGCGCATCGTGCATGCTTTTAACAAGTTGAATGACGCCACGATCCCGGCTCAAACACCAATTCCTCGGAAAGACATGGTACTGGATACCATGTCCGGCAGCGAGATTTTTAGCGCCATAGACCTGACAGACGGGTTTTACCAGATTTTAATGAGGGACAGTGATATCCCGTTCACCGCTGTCAGCACGCTGAGTGGCATGCTTTGGGAGTGGCTAGTCATGCCACAAGGCCTTAAGAACGCTCCAGCAACGTTCAACCGGATGGTGACACAAGTGCTTCGGCCACTACGTGATTTCGCTCCAAGTTATTTCGACGATATTTTTGTTCACAGCCGCGCTGAGCAACAACTCAGCGCTACGGAGGTCCACCTTCGGCATTTGAAACAGGTGTTCCAAGTGATGCGCGAGAACAATCTGTACGCAAATTTGAAGAAGTGTGTCTTCTGTGCTCCCGAGATTCCAGTTCTTGGATGCTATGTTAGCAAGGAAGGTGTCCATGCTGAACCCGAGAAAGTGTCATCGATATGTTCATGGCCTACGCCCAGGAACCAAACGGAACTACGCCAATGGCTTGGCTTGGCCAATTACTTGCATAAGTATACGAAGAACTATGCAGAACTAATCCAGCCACTATCGACTCTACTGAAGAAAGACGCAGTTTGGTCATGGAAAGCTGAACATCACTCTGCCTTCAACTCTGTGAAAAAGAGCTTGTCTGAAGCACCAGTGCTGATGTTGCCTGATGATTCCAAGCCATTTCACGTCGTCTTTGATGCGAGTAATTTCGCTATTGGATGTGCCCTCATGCAGTTTGACGATGAGGGCCGAGAGCGCGTCGTGAGCTTTCAGTCACGACAGATGAAACCCGCAGAGCGGAACTATCCGGTACATGACAAGGAACTTTTGGCTATGCGTTACGCGCTGATCAAGTTCAGAGTATATTTGCTCGGCGAGAAGATGTTTTCGGTCTATACAGATCACGCATCATTGCGTACCGCCGTCAAGACTCCCCACTTGTCCCAGCGTATGGCACGTTGGTTGTCATACTTCTCAGAGTATAATTTCGTGGTCTTTTACAAACCCGGCAAGAACAACATTCTTGCTGACGCGCTTTCTTGACGTCCCGATTATGATCCTCGACGTGACATGGGTCATCAGCCAGGCATTGCTGAAGACGAGGACGAGGACGACATTTGTTTATGATGTGCTGAGCAGGGGCTCAATGCAATGATTTCGACACCTGAGCTGTCAATCCGGACTCAAATCGCTGAGTCATATGCGAACGATTCATTCTACACGGGAATCATCAATTATCTTCGACACCCTAGTGAGGGTTCACTCGCGAAGTTGACGAAACCAACGCGTGACAACATCAAGCGGTACGCGCTTGATGGTCCGCTGCTGACTTATACAATGGACGTTTTCGACCCACCGCGCGTCGTCATCCCTGCTGATGACGACCTCCGCGCACGATTGGTGCATGAATTTCATGACACTCCAACTGGTGGTCATTTGGGTCGCGAGAAGACGTTCGCGGCCATCTCTCGTGTGTTTTTCTGGCCGCGTATGTACAAATACATCCAGAAATGGGTACGCTCTTGTGAAATATGCCAGCGTGTGAAGCCTGCGCCGTCTTCACAAGCTCCATTGCGTCCGCTTTCGATTGCCACGGAAGCCTGGCGTTCGGTCAGCATGGATTTCATCTTTGGTCTCCCTCCGGACGAACAGAAACGCACGGGCGTATTGGTTTTTGTGGATCGATTTAGCAAAATGGTGCATTTTGCTCCAGTCTCCGCGCACGTTACGGCGGAGACGACCGCGCAGATCTTCATCGATCTCATATTTCGACATCACGGCTTGCCTGAATCAATTGTTTCGGACCGCGACCCGCGCTTTACATCAGCTTTTTGGGCAACGTTGTTTCAACTATTGGGCACGCGACTGCTTATGTCTACGGCAGCCCATCCAGAGGCGGATGGGCAAACGGAGCGCGTGAACAGAGTGCTTGAAGATGTACTACGCAGTTATGCGACATCGTTCCAGTCGTGGAGTTCGTTTCTCCCTCTCGCTGAATTTGCAATCAACAACGCAATTCATGCGTCGACTGGGTTAACGCCATTTTTCGTGAATAACGCGAGGCACCCTCGCGTTCCAGCGCTTCTTGCTCTTTCAGCTTCATCACACCCAGTTTCTCAGCTTGGTGGGGGAGTATCTCCCGATGACACTACGCGAAAATTTTTGATGATTGGTAATGTTGAAGACAAGGTTGCTGCCGATGCAACTCATACTGTTAATTTCGTGGCCAATGGCATATCGAGTCCCGACGCGATGCATCCCATCGCGTCTCCCGTCGCTAATTTTGCTCCTAAAGAGTCCACTTCTCCTGTAAGTTCGGCTGCTGTGACCGAATTCCTATTACTACGGCAAAGTATCACGCGTTTTGTACGCGATGCACTCCAAGAAGCAGTGGATAAACAAAAGGAGAACGCGGACAAGCGAGGTCGAAAGAACTTGCTGACGTTCAAAGAAGGTGACAGAGTCTTACTATCGACAAGCGGATTACCAGACACGTCAGTAACGAATTTGGGCGCTAATAAATTAGCGCCAAGATATATTGGGCCCTTTCGGATTGTTGAAGTCCATGGAGATGCTTACACGCTAGACATACCTACCACTATGCGTTTGCACCCGACATTCTATGTCGGGCGCCTTAAGGCTTACCTGCCGGCGGATCTCCCTTTGGTCCTTCCTCACTCGTCTGTATCGGCTCAAAGTCCGACACCCCCTGCCGACGACGCTGACGACGACTGGGACCAAGTCCTAGACGAGCGCGAGCAGACTCGTTCTGCTGGGGTCCACCGAACGCAGCAGTCTCGAGCTGTCGCAGACGCTCCACCAAGCCCTGCTGCTCCCGTCGGGTTCTCTCGGCAGCCTCTGTCGCAGCTGCTGCACGATCTCGAGCCCTCTCGGCCATCTCACGGGCATCCAGAAGGCCGTTCATCGCCTCTTCAGTGTCAGCACGAAGGAAACGAAGCTCGTCACTCGACGGCACAGGCGCCCGATTATGAGAATCGGCGCCCAACCCAAGAAGCCTTCCGTCGTGATGCTCCTCCTCCCTTGGTAGATGCATCGGGTGAGCGACGCTGGATTGTGGACCGTATCGTCGGTCATGAAGACCCCACGCCTCTTGCGCCGAGTAGTGGCTCGGCGCCATCGAAGAGTCGTTCAGAAACGCATTACAAGGTCCGATGGTTGGGTTATTCACCAACGGAAGACACGTGGGAGCCTCGAAGTATGCTGGCTCACGATGTTCCTGACGTCGTTGAGGAGTACGAGACCAGTAAGAGGTCGGCGAACGCGACCGACGCTGCTGACTCCTTCCACGATCCCGCGAACCGTAACGTGAGTGAATTGGCGATCGACGACGATCTCCCGAGCGACTCCGGCGTCTTCTACGAGGCTCGGGAGCATTTGGATACCTTGACGGTCGAGAGCGACTACGAGAACGACCTCGGTGGTCGTAAGACAAACGATCTCGACTGCGTGAACGCCTCCATTGATCTACAGGGCGTTCCCTCATGTGACGCAACGCAGATACTTGGAGCTCTGAGAGGCTCCTCTCATAGCGTCCGATCCATGGTCGGATGTGCTGGGGCATTCCCCGTGCACACACCATGTCGTCCCATTCCTGCCGCATTGGTCGCGGTCTCTCCATGTGACACCGTGGACACCCTTCACGGACATGGACGTAACACATGTGGAACCCATCACGATTCAAATGACATACGCGTCGTCGTAAGTCGCCAATAGCGTGGTCGCCATGAGTACTTTCGCGTCCCTCGATCCAGGACGTGAAGGATGCCCCTTCACGTCGACTCGCGTTCCAACGTCTGATGAAGGCACACCAAGATCGTTGCAGTGCGTCTTCAGTGTATGTGTGATTCGTTCCCTTGCCTCGAACGTTACGGTATCGTGTGAAGAGATTCTTCATGGTCTCAAGTGATTCAGGTTGGTGCGCGCCTTCAAGGCTGTACAAGCCCCACGGCTTCAAGTCGTCATCCATGGTCTGCGGTGCACGCTCTCTTCGAAGTGTCTGATGACCCCAACTGTCGTTTGGGGTCGAGTCGCGTGGGTGTTCAGGATTCATGCTGCTCAGTTGTTTGTGGATAAGCAGATTCGAAGACCAAGATGACGTGTCGTTGGAGTTCTCGTTGGGCTTTTCGTTGGACTATTCGTTAAGAAGAAACTTTCTGTGTATGGCGCTTACGTCACGGTAAGCGCAACTTAAAGAGGGGGGGTGATGTAATGGGGCAACCCATTATATTAAGTAGTCATAGTTTTATTACATAATTACATACATTAAGTGTAGGCAGTATCCGGATAGCGGATACTGCGCGTCTATTTATTACTGGTTTATTATTGGGGTGCCAGACCCAATAATTAGCCAATAATAATTAGTTCTGTATTTGAGTGGTTCCCATGAGCTAGGGAACATATTCGCACTTACTGCGAATTATAAAAACACAAAAATACAAACAGAGTTAAATTTACCTTATAAATCACAGCGCTTCCTCAGCTTAATTATTAGTGTAAGACGGTAACGGGCTCTCACCCCGTTACAGATGGGCGGTGATGATACGCCAAAAGAGATCCTGAGTTTCTTGTCCACGTTGAACAGGTCGGACAATCTTTGGATCCGAGATCACAGGCAACATATAACCAAATCCGAATATGCTCAAGTCGCGGCCTGTACGCTGGAAAAACTCGGCCTCGCTCGCATGGGGCCAACAGAATATGTTTTATAGATTCCAAGGCCTGCTAATCAATCCATGCCTCACTCTATTGCCAAATTACAGCGTTGAACAACATTTCTTTTGCTCTCATCGCCGGGCATTGCCGTGACAGCGAGTCTCTGCCGGATTTGGGCACTACGACTACGTCACGTTCCGCCAGTTTTAGCGTCCTATATTTAATCTCTGACTCGCGACGGCATCATCGCGGGACGACCTTTGTGTGTCGCTCGGGCTTTACCGCAGGCTATTACGCTGTATCAAGGGACCGATGGCTTGCACTGGTGGTGCAGAAGACTCATTTCAGATCTGGACGATGATTCTTCCGTCTAATGGCGGGTGTTTAACCGACAACTGCGGGAACACGGCCTCGTCTTCGAGGCGCACCCACAGCTGCACAAGTTCCCGTGGGCAGTCCCAGATACTATGCCGAATCGATTCGTCCAAGCGGCGCTCAAACGGCAAGCCTCCCGGTATTAAAAAAGTTGGCCCGCCCCCTGGGGAATTTTCTGGATCGTCTTGAGGAACGGTCGGAGCAAGACGAATAGCAACGCGCGGCACTCAGTCAAACGCCGAAGCACGTTTGGGAGCATATTCAGGGCCTCACGGCTTACCAAGTCTGGACCGGATAGCGGGTTGCCATCAGGCAACTTAATCTGCACCATGAAGGGCGACTCAAGAGCAAAAGCTGTTCAAAGCAACAAGGCTGTATGGGGGTAGTGGAGACTTTGGTGCACTTGTTTTGGGACTGCTCCTATGCTCTCGCGGGATGGACCAAGCTGGTCGGACACTGGACTGGGGAGCGTACTTCTCCCAAAGTTCTCAAACACTACTTTGGCGCGAGTGCCTGCAGACAAGTCTCCAGCATATTCGTGCACAGCAAGGCACTCCTTGCGGACCGATTCCCGGACGATACGGAAGCGGCTGAACGGATGTGGAAGCGAATATAGCACATTCTCGCGACGATCTGTCAAACCACGCTATGGGATGACCGGAACGCTGCGGTCTATCAGTTACTTAAGAAAGACATAACCAGCACCACGATCTGTTTTAGGCTACGTGCATCCGCCAAATTCGCGCAATCGCGACAAGAGAAATAGACACGTTTCTACGAATACAAGGGATACCATGCTATATGCATGCATCAAGTTACTCGAGCATGAACCGACAGGGTCGCCAGGCTTACCTATCCCAGCCACGGTCAGCCTTTGAATCCTCCGTCGCTAACATCTTGGCTAAGGCAGCACCAGAGATCATGCAGATAGTTAGTTCCGTGTAAATAAAACATCTGTAACAAATAAATTGTTACTCAAAACCAGCCTCCGTGAGTCGGGTGTGTACAAGCCGACTCCATAGTCGCCCGCTTGCTCTAAACCTTTAAGTCTTTTACAAAGTTGAAGTACCAATTCATAGTTGCTTATTGCGCCGAGACTCTTGAGTGTCTTGTACTCGACGTCCATGCCTTGGATGAGAAGTTTGCGTGTACATGTCAAGGTGCACTTCTTTGTCTGCCATGACATAAGCATTAAGAATATCCCCGTGCTTCTCCAGCACCTTTCATGTTGCCACGAGTGCCAGTATCACATTCCTGCTTACATTCCATGACGGCAGAAAATATGAGGCTGTGAACCACGCCTAGGACTTGCTCGTTGCCGCAAGCATCCGATCTCACCTTAAGGCTCTCTATGTTCCCTTGCGCGTCCGTTTCAAATTTTACATCCATTTTGTGTGCAAAACGTTACAATCAGCAGGGCGCTTTATCAGTTTCCTCATATTGTTATTGTCAAGAGCTGGCAGCTCTTCGTACATTGCATTCTTCCAGGCCTCAAGCTTGTAGCTGCTCATCGCTTGGCCGTAATTCTACGGCCATCCTCTCGAATACACAACTTACAACGTCTGAAACTTAGGCCTACTCCTCCTGGTTGCTGGATGCAGATTCAGGTATCGATCTTGATCTCGTGCCGTGCGCCTCACGCTCTCAATTATTTTTTGCCTTGTGAGCTCTCTTGAGTCATTTCTCAGGATCTGCGACTTAACTCGCGATAGCCTGATTTCCATCACACTTCAATGAGCGCTGCAGCTTCAAGATTTGTTCCACATTTGAGTGTCTCGATGTTCACAACGTATTGCGTCATGACCATTTGTGTTCCTTTTGTAAAAACACACTGAATGCGTTGATTTCAATGATGACTCCGACTTGCAATCTCTGCGCCAGCGAGTTCTTCTGTAGGTCCCTGTCCATATTATAGATGCTCCCAAACACAACGATCTGTCGAAGTTCGGGGGCTTAATCTTCAATGATAGCCCCCGATGTCGACAAATATTTCAATTGGTGATGCGCGTCCTGTGTAGGATTGCGTCGGGCTTCTATTAGGATATGAGCCGAGTGTCCGACTCCACGCCCCCAGAACCCAGAACTTGAAAGTGAGTTGGCTAGCAAAGATTGTGCTGCGCTTCATGCTAAGTATGCAAGATGGATGCGCTCAGCTTTGCCGTTGGACGCCTGGTTCTGTGCTCGATGACTTGCCGCGCAATTTATGTGCGCTGGAGGAACAAATCGACATAATTTATTCGCATCCTCCGTCTGTTCACAAGATGTGTACCTTGCACTTAAACATGCGCTCGATAAAAGCACTAAGATCTTTAATCTCATCACATCCTTGTCCGTCGTTGGTGCCAGAAAAAGCGGCAGTAGTTCGACTTGTGGTCGACGAAGTCAAATAGATAGAGATTTCCAAGTCGATCCCTCGGAGTTATCGGAGCTTTCAAATCCGAGCAAATCACTCCGCCTTTTATGTCGATAGGTGCGTGATTTCCAGTATCCACCCGAGACTGTTTGTTCTTTGTCTGCTTACCTTCTTTGCACAAACTAAAAAAAACGGTCCTGTTGTCGTTCCTAGTCTTGATACCCCAGCCAGGTTTCTTCTCCGTATTTCGATCTTGTCAAGCGACAGGTGTCCCATACGTGCATGAAAGAGCAAAAGAGATCCGCTCTGCACAGCTTCTACTGGCATGCTTGAAACTGCTTAGAAAAAACGGCCATCAAAAAAACATCTCTTGCTTTTTTCGTTTCACCGTCGTCACTGTTGTTTTGGCGTACAGCACGTTCGTCTGCCTACTGGCGTCAAATGCGATCTCTCCATCACTGCGTCACACTAGAAGATGATCCGATCACCTGTAGATGATCCTGAAACCTTTTTGCTGGAGTCCTGTACTATTCGATGTTGTGCACAAGCTGTGGCGCCAGATAAACGTCGTTAAGATGCTCGTTCAATGCATACCGTTTGCAGTCACGCGCAAACAGACACTTCTATCCATCGTGATCTTGAGAGTTTTTGCCTCCTGCGATCGAGATCTCGTGATCGCGCTCATCGGCGTCCTGAACCAGCAAAAAATCGTTCACCAAGTGCCTACAGGAATCGATGTACAAGTTCCAGTCGCTTGAATTGATGTCGTCGGTACATCCGACAGAATTCACGGACCCAGTCGGCGCCTTGTTTTTTTCTCTCCCTCCGCATGCTTCACACCTGCAATGTTTTTGTCGCTTACTGCAAGACCCATGCCGCCATTGTTAGTCTTCTTGTTTTTTCCAGCGATAACTTTTCCTTACTCCGGAAATTTGCTTGAATGTTCTATTCTTTCTGCACCTGAAACATCTGCGTGACTATTTGCGCTGAGACGACGCCTCGACATGCGTAGCGACAATCTCACGCCCTATTGATCCACTCTCAACCTCAATAGATGCCGCAAAATGTGTCAATTCTTCGGCATGGCTAAATTAGTCAGTCCGTGTTGGGTCGTGCTTGGCTCGCATCACATTCACGAGCAAAGGCGAAGCGCGATGAACGATATTCATAGTACCAGCGAGTCTGCACCTCCCTGTGCATCACTCACCATGACTAGGTGCAGGAAGATACTCCTCCCATAAACTTTTTGCATCTTTCTTTTGCGAAAAAATTTGATAGACTGGCCGGCGGTGATCGTCGTCTTAAACGTGTCCAACAAGATTCCCATCAAATAATTTAGTGTTAGGTTTTGGTTCCACCAGATGTAGTCTTGCTTGTGGTAGTATCTATTGGCTGTACCGGCTAGGCAATACTGAGTAGTTACACCTTAAAATCATCGCTCCACCAAAAACCACACGATGTCTAGGCCAAGTTGACTTGTCATTGGAACGTCTCCCCAATCATATAAACCGGATCCCAAGCCACGATATAACTCTGTTCTGTTGGACTTACGGATCGTTGGCTTGCGTTGGGATGTCGTCGGTGTCGCATAGCTCATAGCTTCTTGCTGCTGAAGTGGCGCTGCTGGAATTGCCACTCGAAGAAGAGCCTCCTCAGAAGGTGTGAGCACCTGTATTTGTTGCATGAAAGGCATCGGTGAGAGCATCACTAGAGATGTGAACGTGGTAAAGTCGCAAACCATCTTTTTAAGGCGTGGATTGGTGAACACCTAGTTGAGACACCATAAGTGGCAGAAAACGAGAACAGGTGATACAGCGATCCAAAAGGAGATGGAATGTGACCCCAACTAGGATTGGCAATCTGATCCAGCGTCACAAAGGTGACGAAGACAAGACGATTTCTAAGACAAGAAGACAAACTGGAAGAATTATTATGGAGCTGTCTGGGACAAGTCAGCGGGACGAAGTCATACAACTCTTCTGAATGTTGGTCAAGAAGAAGTAGACGTATATTGAAGCAGGCGAAGACCAGATCGTAGATCGACATGCTGTGGCGGCGGTCCTCTGGAGAATTGACACATCCGGGACACAGTGATTCCCCAAGGTACATCTGGGACCAGGTGACACGGTTCGGCAAATCTGCAACGAAGGTGCAACACCATACGGATCGGTGATACTCTTTACCGGTCCTATGATAGGAGCACTGATTTTGGTTAATCAAACCCCGATCTGGAAGTGATGAATACTTAGGGGAGTCAAGGAAGCCAGTGTCGAGGCGTATACACGAGGTTGTCGATATTATAAACGGCAAAGGATGATACTGGGGCACGTACACTTCAACGAAATAGTGTCAATCGCCGGTATATACCGGATTGATCTTGTTGAGAACCTAAGGACGTACGACGAACGGAGCTGACGACAGTGCTATACGCTAAGACGTGCATTGTCAACGGAGTGCATAGGTGGTAAGTACCTTGAAGAATAAAGTCAGGCTTCAACTGGGGTCATCTTGTTTAATGACACCAGCAGGAGAACGACACAGAACAGCAAGAGTCTGTAGGTTTGTGTGTTTAGCTTTACTATTAATTAATTGCTTTCCAACTTACCTCCTTCAACGCATCGTGACTGTCTTAGCTAACTTAGTTTCTGATAGGTCATGAGCCCAACGATGGCTTCGGCATTCACTACAAAACTTAGGCAGTTCAACGGAACTAGGTTTCCGATGTGGGGCGCACAAGTCAAGCTAGTACTCGAGATTAAGAGGCACTGGGTCGCTGTGAATGAGATGACCCCAAGTGAATCCGATTTGAAGATGAAGAAGGATGCTGTTTCAATGGTAGCGGCTATTGCTGGAACGTCCAAATTGGGTGCAGTGTCGGTGATGCCACTTAACGGTAGAGTGATTAATCAAAATATGGCTGCTTCATTCATTCTAGCGGCGCTGGGCGAGAAGATCACGTCTGAGATGTACTTTATGGACTACCCACCCACGATGCTCCGCCATTTGCGCCTGACGTACAACGTGAAGTGCGGCGCAAGTATTGGGGCATCAAATCGTGAGTGCATGGGGCTCTACCTTGGTGGAGATGACTCCATGGTTAACCATATCAAGACGAAAAGACGTGTCTTTGATGAGCTTCAAGAACAGCACGTGCATGTCCCGGATGAAGAGAGGAGACAAAACTCCATGCAGAGCCTGGGGCCTGCCTGGAACGAGTTTGTGGGAGTTCTAGAATCATGTGCAAGATTCGAGGCCACTCTGCAAAGAGCCCATGTGGAGGCTGTTCGACGCGATCAGCAAAAGGGACGTCGATCAACTAGTATTGATACAGCTGGAAACAAGGCTTCTGCTGCCTTCCACACGGAGCAGAAGCCTGGACGTCGATTTACCAAGTCGAAGACGGATAGCGACATGTCCAAGGCTAAGTGCTACAATCGCAATCATCTGGGACACTTTGCGAGGAGCTGCACGAATGACTTTACAAAGAAAGAAACATCGAGTACGGCTATTTTGGTAGAAGACGCGGAAACAAGTTGCGAGCGTGTGTGGATCGTTGACAGTGGTGCAACGAGCCATATGACTGGTCATTTGAAAGCTTTGATCGATGTTCACAGCCTGGACAAGCTTTGCTTGCTGACTGTGGCTTCGGAAGAAATGATGATGGCTACGTCGATAGGGAAAGCGATGCTGCAGCGCGATGGCAGTGGAGTCTATGCACTACAATATGTCTTGTATGTCAAGGGTCTGGCTCGTAATCTTGTTTCTGTTGCGGCAGCGTCTCGCAATGGTATGGAGATTATATTTAAGGAAGAATCGAGTGTAATTCGCTCTGACGCTGGAACGACTTTAGAAGCTTCACGAGCAAACCACCACGTATACGTGGTCTCGGCATTGAGTGAGCCGATCATTGGCTCTGCCATGATAATGACGGAAATGTCACACGTAGAAACGTGACATCGTCGACTTGGACATCTGAACACACAAAGCGTAAAATAAGTTCTCGCCGATCTAAAACTTCCATGGAGAGGAGTGACGAAGTAGGCGTGCCCGACCTGTGTGGGTGGAAAGTTAACTCAGAAGTCATTTGCTGCGAAAGCAGCCCGGACACTACACAAGAATCAGGTCCTACTTGCGTTCGAATATGTAGGGCCTATGAAAGTGATGGCGCGGGATGGATACACATACCTGATCAATATCATGATAAAGCCATTTCATCTTGACATGTTTTATCCTTTCCGCAACTAGATCTCATGCACTCATCTGGATGCAATCAAGGCCTGCGTCGCCAAACTCAAGGCCTACTTTCTGAGCCATCGTGTCGCATTTTTGAAGTCTGATAACGCCGCTGAGTACGGTGGTAGCGACAACGCATCATAATGCAAGCAAAACGACATTGGGCAGGATTTTAGTTCTCCATACAACTCCACCAGATAGAAAAGTTAGAGCGTGCTTATCGTGTCATTGTGGAGATGGCAAGGTCCATGATGATTGGGGCTCGTTCGCCAATGCAATATTGGGCAGATGCCATTTTTTGTGCTGCGTACATACGCAAAAGATTTCTAACGAAGGTGTTAAGTGGTAAGAATTCAATGGAGGATTTGCTGGACAAGTACCAGATATCAGCAACCTTCGCGTTTTCGGGTACAAAGTTCAATCTTTGGTGATCCAGCAGCATCGAAAGAAACTCAACACAAAGAGTCGAAACGTAATCTTTGTTGAATATGCAACCGCCGTTATGAATATAGTTCACATTCCCGAGACTAGATCTGATCCACAATTACCGCACGTACCGTTGTGTGTTATGAGGACCAGTTTCTGCCTGCGACTGGAGAAGATGAAGTCACGATCAGTGCGCAGTTTGAAGGCCAAGAATCGGATCTCGTACAGCTCACCAACCAGCAACTTTGCATTGGATCGAGTAATGAAGAGAAGGATAACATAGTTCTGGTGTCTGATAACTCAAGAACAACCCACACCACTTTGGAACCAGTAGGAGACATAACCAGTCAAGATCGGCCACGAGGTTATTTACGAAAAGAAAAAAGCGTCGCACCCGATGCGTCGGTCGAGCAGAATTTCAAATCCCAGTCAACGAAGCCTGGACTTCGATGAGCTGCACCTTTCATTGGAAGAAGCGTGCAATCTTATTGAAGAGCGTGTGGTTCCAGCAGATACCGACAGCACGATTGTGTGTAATGGATACGTCGACGCGAGATTGGCACCAAGAGATGATGAAGCACGGGCATTTGGGGTTGAACCAACAAATTTGCAAGATGTCGAGCAATCTGAGGACCGGATCAAGTGGAAGGAAGCCATTTCCGAAGAGATTGGTAGTCTACTGCAAAACAAAACACTTGTCGATGATCCGCTACCACCAGGTCGATCGGCGATCAAGTCCAAGTGGGCATTTAAGAAGAAGATGAACGCGGATGGAACCTTGGACAAGTAAAAGGCCAGAGTTGTTACCAAGGGTTTCAGCCAACGTTATAATGGGGACTACACGGAGACATTAAGTCCTGTAGTACGACACAGATCAGTCAGAATTGTGCTTGTGATAGAAGTATGTCGCCAAATGCATCGGACGCAGCTTGACATCAAGACCGCTTTCCTGAATTCAGATCTGGACGAAGAAATCTATATAGAATCATTGGAAGGGTTTGCATCTCATAACGGGAAAGTCTGGAGGCCTTTGCAGATACTGTTTGTACTAAAACAAGCCTCGAAAGATTGGTATGATAACTTCACGACATTCGCGTTGGGACTTGGCTTTTGCCAAGGCGCAGCAGACGGATGTATATTCGTCAAAAGAGCCGACGAGAACCTGATGATTGTGCTTCTGTATGTAGGTGACATCTTAGCATTTGCTATGGACAATGCAGATCCCGCTAAGCTTCAGGCATCTGTTAAGAAAATGTGCAGCGTCAACCACTACGCAGAGTTAACAAAATCTGAGTCTGGACATGCACTGGTCCGATGCCGGCGATGAACTGCGACTCAGCCAGATGAATTACACGACAACCGTTTTATAACGATTTGGCATGGACTGTGCACGAACTTGCGCACATTAATGGAAGATCACTACCGTTATCAGCTGTACGAGGTGCAGGAGCCGACTCAATTCCGTCCGCGTCCCGGAATTGTATCTCTTATATACCTATCGATGATCAGCAGACCGGACATCACTACAGCTGTAAGGATCCTCGCTCAGGAGATCGAGCATCCAACGGACAGCGTGAATACCGGTTTGGATCGCTATTTCTCTACCATAATGTACACGCGATTTTGGACTGGCATTTTAATGCGGTAAAGGTAACGGCTTGACGGTGTACTGTGATGCGGCATTTTCGGTGGAAACGGAATCCAATTATGTGACGGGCTGTGCGATTTACTACAACGGTTGTCTTGTCGAGTGGGGGTCCAAACGACAGTCTGTGGTGACGTCGTCATAATCTACAGAATCGGAGTACATATCCATTTGCGCAGGCGTACAAGCGTGTATTGGGCTGAACTTGATTTTTAAAGGACTTAGGACTCCAAGTGGACGAAATTTTATTGATGGAAGGCAATCAAGGTGCCAAACACATAGCAAAAAGAAGTCGGTGACACAGCGCTCACGTCACATCAATATCAAGTATCATTGGTTGCGTAAAAAACGGCGCTTCATGAAGTGTGAAATTAACACTGCCCAACAAGCGCGACATTTGCGGACCATTTTACGAACCGATCGGCATGATCAAACTCGATTATGTTAGCGACAAACTCGGTGATCGTCTTGTGGGAGTGTTGGGAACTAATGGACGTACGACGAACGGAGCTGACGACAGTGCTATACGCTAAGACGTGCATTGTCAACGGAGTGCATAGGTGGTAAGTACCTTGAAGAATAAAGTCAGGCTTCAACTGGGGTCATCTTGTTTAATGACACCAGCAGGAGAACGACACAGAACAGCAAGAGTCTGTAGTATTGTGTGTTTAGCTTTACTATTAATCAATTACTTTCCAACTTACCTCCTTCAACGCATCGTGACTGTCTTAGCTAACTTAGTTTCTAATAGATCTCCAACATCTCTATATTGGCAACAGATCGATCATATTCCACATTAACTATGGATGAATGGTTAACGAAGATACTGAATCATTGGGAATAATTTGATGGACGTCCCTGAGTGATTTCAAGAAGTTTCAGACAGAAATAGCTAGCGGAAGCCGTCCGAATTGACGTCGCAAAATGGGTGTGGACACATTCGGCAATTTTGGGTCATATTCGGGTACTTTGGCGCCAAGAATGATTATTTAGCACCCTATTTTGAGTCCTGGGTACATTTGGTGTTCTAAATACAATTTCGGGAATACTGGCGCTATCATTAGAGTACAGGGCATGAAATTTCGACACGTGACAAGGGGGCGACCACATTCATGTTGATATCGGTTTGGAGGGTAATCCATATTTAACAATAGGATTAAGGGTAGGTTGGATAGTATTTTGGTTGGTTAATAACAGACTCGAACTCTACTTTTTTTACACACTCCACACGTCCCCCTTTTCCATGCAAGTATCTTTGGCTTCCCGACGGCTCAATGCGCGCGTGTTCAAAAGGCACTGAAGACCGATATCGGATTTGTTGGCCAACATCGCACGAAGAGCGATCCGAGGAACTTTCCTGGATCGATCAAGTACTCAGTCTCCACTAAACTGCTACGGTAGCAGCAATAACGGAAAAAGGATTTTGGACACAAGATCGCGAAACGGCTCAAGTGGTTAGAAGAGACGAAGAAAGAGTTCGAGACAAGACCTAGCAAGACCAAGCAATCAACAGGACAGGTAGGCACGTTTCATTTTGGCGAAGCGCAAGTTTTATCTGGCCTAAGCTGCGCAATTTTGACAAGAGCGGCTGATCTTGAAACCAGATCGGAATGATCGCTGGCAAGATTGACGCATACATATTATATCCGCTAAGTAAAGTTTTCCGCACAGTGAAGACCCCGATCCCGACATCCAGCAGCAACGCAAGATCAAGATCCGAGAACCCAGTTCGTGGTGTAAAGATTTCCGCACCGAAAGCAAACTCTCAATCCCTAATTTCAGCAAGATTGACATATTCCAAGGCCATTACAAAGATCTCAAGACTGCCCAACCGACGGGCACACGAGGTGAGCGCAAGGTTATACTACAAGGCACGGATCGGAGTACCTCCTCCGTGAGTCGGCAACTCTGTGCAAGTGGAAGATCAACACTCACATTTACGAATTTGTGAGATAAATTTAACCACGAGAAGAAATACCCTCCGTGTTCGGGTGACTTTCCGGCACCCGAACTTCACAAGACGCTGGTTAGCGCTCCGGTGAGTTTCTCAGCGCATCGATCATCATCGTCTTTATGCCCATATTCGCGCCGAGAGACGATGCAAACATACCACTTTCTATGACATCGTGCACACGCTCATCCTTGTCGATCCGCATCTGTGAAGTCTTCATCGTATCCATGTTATCCGAGAGTGATACGAAGGACGCAAGAATCTTTTCGTCGGTAGCTGAGCTCATTTCGTGAGCCAGAGCGTCTTTAACAAAAGACGCGGCACGCGGTGTATAGCTGCGAGTCCTGGAGAGGCAGCACATGATGGTAAGGCCCGTGCATAAACTTCTGTTGAGGTGAAGCCTTGTGTAGTCTTCTTTGGCCATTGGGACCATAACGTGTAAGATATGTGCAATGGGCAGATGATGGCAAATTTGATGCTGTCATGTTTGTGATCACGAGCACTGCTTTCTCTTCCAATTGCTCCTAGCCATGATTTCTAGACCTCCTTCGTCGCAGCCTCTACCCGGAATTTGTTACAATGTGCAACCGTTGCCCATTCATCCACGCCGAGATCTGACAGACGTTCCACTACGCCCATAAACCTTTCTGGAAAGTCCAATTACTTTCACCGCCTGTCCTCACCTTTGCCAGAACATTCGACTGTAATTCCGTGATGTGGTGGATTACGACACAGAATCGCATATTTTTGCAATCCCGAAGGGTGAAGTTATCAATGAGTGTGCGCGAGGTTGACTGCCGGGCTTTAAAATCGTACTTATCTGTGTGTCTAAGAATAAAGCAATTAGATTTGGCTTGCACGTGTTAGATGCGATTTAGCCTGTCCCCACTATACTATAAAAACTCCGACGTCCGAAAAGCTTTGACCAGGATAAAGACAGAACAAGATAGTGTCATTGTGTGCAATTACACAATTTGCGTGTATTTTTGAAATTGAACGTATCTCGGGGAGCTAAAATTCCCCATCCTCTACACGCCCCGCTCCGTCACATAGCACTGCATGTTTTTTTGCTAAAAAAGGGCTTTATGTTGGTTCGACGTCGGAGGTGTCGGAGCTTTGATGTAATTTTGAAATGTGCGAACGACTTGGTGTTTGTAAAGTGCTATCCACAACATCACTGCTCGCTCCGACCTAATACGTCGGAGAGATAGCTGCGACAGCTTTACTTGTCCATCTATTCTGTGCCTGGCCATCATTATTGCATGTGACCGCCCTGATTCTTTATAAATGGTTTCATATCCTTACGCTCACCCTATTGGTTAATACAATCAATACGTTATTCAAGTGTGGTCTAAGATTTGATAATACTTATCCATATTGGCATACAGGCACATTCGAAGGCATTCTTTGACAAGGTCATTGTTGTGACACACGCATGGGATTGGCTCAAATCGATCAAAGGTGAATATGATCACGTAAGCAAACGCTGGACAATCATAAGCAAAGGCTGATCGCGTTGCATGAGTATACTTCTGGGATATTTAGACAATGCCAGTATCATACCGCATCTCCCGTGACTGCTACTATAATACAGTGTTTTGTAACTTGATTCATTTCTCCGAACTGGATTACTCATCTCAAAAGGCGAGCTCCAGAGCTTTCTCCCCTATCTTATGCAATGCAAATTTGCCGAAGCTGTAAGCTTACTGTGCTCCAGCAATGACCAATAAAACCTCCTACAGTCTTTTAGATCTACGTAGCGGCATCGGTACAGATACATTGCTGTAACGGGGTGAATCGTTACATAACAATTTATAAGAAATTGTTAATAGAATATAACTATAAGAGTTATATTCTCAGAATATTGTCATAAGGACAATATTCTGTAGCACTTCCAAGTAGTTCCTAATTGGTTGATATAGGCCATTATATCAACCAACGAAGACGCGCCACGACAGACGCACGCAATGAGTGGTGAGCAGATAACTGATTTACACATTTGTATTTAGACATAGTTAGATGAAGATAAATAGTGATTTATTGCAGACATTAACTATTATAAATACAGTTCTACTTTTTACTTAAACTAAGTACTCGCTTCTTCTTACCGTCTTCCTCTGCACGTACGAGTGTACGTGAAGTTACGAGGCACCGCCTTATTCTGTTATCAAAATAAGTAGCTTGTACTGTCACCAGTACAAGCTTCAGGGTGCCCCGTTACACCTGGTAGCACTTCGTAGTCCGTCCAAGGACCGCGTTCACATCCAACATGAATATGTTGGATGATGAAGATGACCAAAGCTTTCACGCAACGCGTGACGGCTACTCCCATTTGAGCGATGTCGAATGGGATGCGGTTGAACGAATGGGTTCGACCATGGGCATCCATGCTGTTAGCGTCATGCTAGAGGCTCTCAATAGAGATGCCCAACATGCTACTATCGCCAAGTTCATTCAAAATGAACTTGACGCAGAACGCGAGAAAGTAGCCTTGCTTCACCAACAAGGTTCTCAACAAGCAGAGTTGTTGAGAGAACAAGGTGCTCAACAGTTTGAACTGTTGAGACAGCAGCAGGCTGCTGCTGGCGGGTCGATGCACTCGCGTCGACCCGAGACTTTGAAGATTGACATCTCAAAGTATAGGGGGGTCGAAGAAGACTCCCTCTTGAGATGGTTCGTCGAATTGGATGACGCCATAAGGGCGCGTCGCATCGACGACGGGGATATGCAAGTTGCATTTGCCCAGTCAAATCTGGCAGGACGTGCCAAGACTTGGGCACTGGGGCTCAAGTTGCACGACCCATATGCGTTTGGGTCGTTAGAAGTCTTCAAGTCGCGGCTCAGACAAACGTTTGAACCGCCTAGAGCTGAGCTCAGAGCTCGAACCGAACTCTTGAAGCTCAAGCAGGGTAAGCGTGATGTGAACGCTTACGCTCAACATATACGACATCTTACGAGTTGTATAAGTTCCAATCCGGTGGATGAACACACGTTGGTTTCGGTGTTCATGCAGGGTCTTGCGGATGGTCCTGTCAAGACTCACCTGTTCCGGCTTGAACTAGATTCACTAGAACAAGCCATTTCAATTGCGGAGCAGGAAGACTTCAGTCTGAGACAGGCTCGCGCCAGCTCGACATCATATCGTCAACCGAGACGATATGACAACGGAGGTCCAGAGCCGATGGAACTCTGTTATGTAGAGAGCGAGAAGGCTCGCTCTACAGGCTACAAGAAGTTGCAGAGATGCAACAGATGTCAAAAGACAGGACACTACGCTTACGAGTGTAGTGCCCCTCGTCCAGTGTCTCGCGACACTGGGCGTAGTGACCGTCCACCCATGAGAAAGGGGCAGGGACGAGGGTCCGCAGTTGGTGCAAAGACGCAACAACGGGATGGACCGTCAAAAAACGGACAGGATCAGTAGGTGCGGAGCACCCTACTGATCCAGCAACGTCAAGAGAATTTGTAGGCCTCTTGATGAAGGTTGCTCCCAACACACAGACATTGTGCGTTGCTGCTCTAGGTAATGAGATCTCACTCATTACCTTGAAACTCGAAGTGACGAATAAGTTCTCCCTTCGAGCTCTAGTCGATTGTGGGGCGTCCAACAATTTTGTGCGACGCCAATCGCTAGAAGATGGTCACTTTAAATTCAGTGAATGTGACACACCTCCTACGAGGATGACGGTACGTCTTGCGACAGGCGCATCCGTAACCGTCATGAAGCGTATAGTGAAGATTCACTATACGCTAGAAGATACCCAATACGACGATGACTTTATCGTATTGGATTTGGATGACAAATTTGATGTCATCCTTGGAATACCGTGGCTCAGAAGGTACGAACCACGGGTAAACTGGCAACATCGGACAGTAACGATGCCTGCCGCTTGTTCATCAGATGGCCATCTGATGAACGTTTTGGAGCGTCCACAAGCGTGTGGATGTACTACGAGTGAGTGCGATGGCCTCACTTGTGGTACGGTCGTTAGTACGACTGCACAAAACCTTAGTGTACCAAACGGTTACACTTCGGAGCAAAGTTCCGGCGGCTGTGAGGAAACACAGTCTGCGCCGAAGGTCCACCACTCGAATAAGTCGGGTGGACTGGGACAAAGATGTATCCCTAGAGGGGAACATCTAGAAGAGAAACAATCGATCGCTCAGGTTAAGCGAAACGATAATCCTAGATCGACTGGAGAGTCTTTCGCAGAGGATCTCGCTGTGGTTGCGCAACCCCAGCTAGAGGAAGTAAAGGGAATAAGTCCCAAGATTACAAATACGGCGGAAATAAGTTCCCCAAAACCCGCGGGAATAAGTCCCCGGGAAGACGAAGGAATAAGTCCTTCGAAGCCTGAGGGAATAAGTCCCCAGGAAATGACAGAGACATTGAATGTCATAGTCAATAACGGATCATGTGTAGGCGCTTATACACTTGATCTGATTGCGCCTCCGAAGTTAACTTCGGAGATCACTCAGTTGCCAACGCTCGAACATAAAAGATTCTTGCGTGATCTGCGTAGTGGCAAAGTCAAGCAGATCTGCATACTCGTCGCTGAAGACGAGTATGTAACCGACATAAGGTCAGCAACAGTGTTTACTGAGAACGAGAGAGTTCTCAGTAGTTCATCTATGGACGAGAGTGTCCTAGATGAAAAGACACGAATTGAGCGATATGAGTCCCAATCATGGGAATCGCTCAAGGAAAATCCTCTCTATGAAGATTTGGTTGAATTCAAGGATGTATTCCCTGAAACTGTTCCGTGCAAATTACCGAAGGATAAAGGTATTCGACACGAAGTCGAGCTTAAACCAGGCTCGAAGTACTGTGTCATGAAGCAGTGGCCACTGCCTCGTGAACAAGTACTTGCGATCGACAAGTTCTTTGCCGATCGTTTAGCAGCGGGCCATGTGAGGGAATCAACTTCCCCACATAGCTCTCCGACCTTCTGTGTGCGAAAAGCAACAGGAGGGTGGCGGATAGTGCACGCGTTTAACAAATTGAACGCTGCAACGGTACCGGCTCAGACGCCGATACCGAGGAAGGACGTAATCATTGATGGTATGTCAAAGAGTACCATCTTTTCGTCCATGGATTTGATGGATGGCTTCTATCAAATCCTAATGCGGGAACGGGATATACCCTATACCGCAGTTAGCACGCCTAGCGGCATGCTCTGGGAATGGCTAGTAATGCCACAAGGGCTCAGTAATGCCCCTGCCACGTTCAACAGATGTGTATCACATCTGTTGAGGCCAGTACGAGAATTCGCGCCGAGTTATTTCGATGACGTATTCATCCATAGTCGAGCTATGGATGGAAAGTCGGACGTTGAGGTTCACAAGTACCACGTCCGACAAGTTCTTACAATCATGCGAAAGCATCAATTGTATGCAAACCTCAAGAAGTGTATATTTGCAGCA